ATATATATATATATATATATATATATATATATATATATATATATATATGAAGAAGAATCTTAGTTAAGTATGTTTAGATGCTTTCGTACAGATGGATGCTCGAAGCCTGGCAATGGAAATGGCCCCGATTATAATGTGGCAAAAAGACCATAGACCAGAGCACTACAAACAGTTTTGGATTCAAACACCAAAACTCAATTCTAAGGCAAGCTTGGATTCTGCCTCCAACTACAGTGGATGGGACATGCTTTCAGGTGATTCGTTTCTCACTTCAACCTATCTATTTTTATTTTTATTTTATTATATTTCCGGGTGTTAAATTATTTCATTTTTCAGAAGACGGAGAAATTAAAGATGCATCGTCCTCGATTCCACTTGACGATGGGATGCCGGTGGACTTCCATGCTATTGAAGTTATACAGTGTTTGATAGAGCATCACAATGCAGTTTTCACCGACGCAAACGAAACTGTGTGGTGATCGTTTGAGTTTTTTTTTTTTTCGCCAGTTCCGATATACTGCACAGATTTGTTTTTAGATTGGTAACTAAATAATATGCTGGAAAGAAGTGTCAGAAATGTCTGTTAAAATTTTCGATAGCTGAAGTTTTCTGTCCAGCGATCAGACACAATTAGTGTCGTTTGTAAATCATTTCAGTCGTAGATTCTGGAATTCATCGACAAAATGGCGACAGGTCTACATTTGTTTATGTTTGATACTCCATTTTTATGAAGTAGCAGTATGTGCCAAAACGTTGTCCCAATGTAATATTTGGTCAATTCATCATTTACAGTCCCTCAAGTATGTAAATCGTCCCGCATTAGTCTCTCATCTTTAAAATGTAACAATATCATCCCTCATCTCCTAAAGTTGTCCCAATGTACTCATTTTTCAAAACCAATATTATTAAATAATTGATGTAAAGAGGGGATACTATGTTATATTAGTTTTGTTACTTATGACCGAGTAAAATTATGTTATTATCAAATTAATATTACGTAAATGTCTAATTCAAGATGGATGTTCAATTAATTTCTCATCGTATACATTATATTCTATCATAATTTTCTTCAATACCTATAAATTAGAGCAAATTTTGAATATGAACTGTGTGCATATTATTTTATTTCTCTCTTCGTTTTGCAAAAAATACAATTATATTATGGAGATATTCCATTTTTTAGATTGAATGCTAAGGAAAAGATCATATTGGGACAATTTTAGGAGATGAAGGATGAAATTGATGCATTCTAAAGATAAGGGATTAAAGTGAGAGTCAACCTATATTTGAGGGACTTTTTAGTTTTTTTATTGCTTTTAGATTAAAGTATTTAAGAAAATGGAAAAACAAATTATAAGGCACCGAATCAATTTCCTCTCCAATTTCTTGGCGCCTGTGTTTCAATTCTGTTTAATTGCGATTGCATCAAAAACCTAACCCCCAATCAAAAGAAGAAGAAATAAAATAATGATGGCTGCAAATCTACCCATCAAAGTCCAAAATCAACTGCTCCCACAGTACGTTCAATACCATCAACGCTAATTTCATTGTTTTTTTCTTCTACAAATTGATCAAATATTTATATCCGGGATTCGCGATCATTCATCGCCATAATTAGCGCATGGAAAGAAAACAAAATGGATAATCCCCACCAAAATCCACCTTGCACTGATGTTTCAAGCTCGATTTTTTCATTGGATCATGTCGGAGAGGTCGTTCTCACTCGTACTTCGAATGGGTTGTCTTGGAAATTGGTTGATTCTTCCAATAATGTAAGTGATTTCCTGTTTCATCTGTTTATCTTGCTATTTCTTAAACTCGAGTTTGTTTCCACTTTTACCCCCTTCTTCTCTTGCATGATTGTTGCAGTACATCAATTAATCATAATGTTGATTCAGTTTAGTCTTTGTGGGTGTTGTTTGATTAGGAAAATGGGGCATTTTTTAGAGTTTTCGGCATCTCGTTTTACTCGTTAACGATGTCTGTTTGGATAATGATGACATAAGTTTAAACAAAGTAAGAACATGCTACTAGAATGTTAGATAGACCAATCGAGTAACAGTTGATGCCAAGAGCTGATTTGGGTTAGGTGCATTTAGATTTTTCGACACGCTATTCCAAATGATATTTCAACTACGAATGCATTGAGAATCGTCGTCTCTTCAAATACTACTGAACTTTGAAATGATTTATTTTTTTATGTCAATTTGTCCTTTTTTTTTTTTTGAGTAATGTCAATTTGTCCCTTATCGAAGTCGGCTTATGTGGACTGCTCTATACCTGCATTTTACATGCTCCATCGGTTAAATACATTTTCTTACATCTACCTTGTGCGAAGATGAATTCATTAAGTTTTCTGTACATTACATCAGGATGAGGATAAACTGTCTTGTTTGGGGTTGAAATTGGTTTCCGATAATGAAATGGAGGTTAGTTTTGCCGACGTCTACGCTGTTAACTTCATTGGCTGGGGTTTGGTACATGAATATGGTCTTACCATCGCCGAAGGATCTACTTTTGGTCATTCTTCTGAGGTGATACACTTTTACTAATTTATGCCTCCACAAAATTCTTATATCATTCCGCAGTTATATTCCAATTGTACGGTATTCTCTCTTTACTTCAACAGATGTATCGGTTTACGGTGCATGCTATCCACAAATCAAGCACCAAAAGGTCTCTTTGGACCCCGTCAGTTTACACTTTTGGTAATAAGGATTTGGAGATCTGTACGACTTGGGTCAATCAGATTAATGGTTATCTAAACGTGCTAGCTAAGAGACCTAAAAATCTTCTGGTATTGTTTTAACACTGTCACCGTCTCATTTTCCTTTCGTCGGGTTTTCTTTTTTTTTTTTTTAACTTTTTTATTTGAGACCTAACTCAGTAGTCGATTAGGTTTTTGTTCATCCAAAGAGTGGGAAAGGACATGGATGTAGAATATGGGAAGCAGTAGCTCCGATTTTTTTTCAGGCCAAAGTAAGAACAAAGGTAAATTTGCTTTTCACTTAAACATTCCGTGTTTTAGATGGCTTGGTTATTTACCCTATTCGATATGATTAATCACGAAGCTAGTTCATCTTAAGTTACTGAATTGGCTTTATCCTCTTCTTTCTCATACATTCAGCTTTTTACAGGTAATAGTAACAGAGAGGGCCGGGCATGCACGTGATGTTTTGGCCTCAATGGCAAATAAGGATCTTAGTTTATACGACGGAGTTATAGCTGTTGTATGTAGTTTCACTCTTTCACTCGTGCATTTTCTAGTTTCAATCTTTACGGAACACGGGTTGTTTTCTAATTGTTTCATCTTATATTAATAGGTCTAATTTCGTGGCATCGTATTTATTTATGGTTTTTTTTCTTCTATTTCTTATATTAATAGGGCGGTGATGGATTTTTCAATGAAATTCTAAACGGGCTTCTCTTGTCAAGGCATAAAGCTCCATATCCACCAGCTCCTGAAGATTCGACGCACCCCGTTGAGGGTGAGTCGGAATTTTCAATTCATAATGTTGAGAGAACCATTTTAGAGCCATGTGATTATAATCAAGACGAGTCTCCTCTTCTCACAGGCTCTGAACATGTTGCACCTCAACCAACAAATCGTGGTACGTTAATAAAAGAAATGTCCGCACGTTTACTTTGTCTTTTATAACATTTTACCAAACAATTTTTTTTATATTGCAGAGCAACATCAAGAATTTCCTTTTCCCAATGAAATGTTCAGATTTGGTATTATCCCAGCAGGATCAACTGATGCCATTGTCATCTGGTATCTTATCCGTTATCTTCTTTTAATTACTCTTTTAATTTTAGGGCACATGATAATTTGCCGTAGTTTTGTATCTTAACTTAGTTTACAGAGGGTTTGATTATTTGAACCTCATCATGGGTGTAGAAAGATCCATATTATCCTATTCGTGTGTTGTATGCATATGATTATTCGTAAAAAAATAATTTAATAACGGTCGTTATGTAACGAACTTGGTTTTATGTTTTTGCAGTACAACTGGGGCTCGAGATCCTGTAACTTCGGCATTGCATATTGTACTTGGTAAAAGGGTGCGTCTTGATATAGCTCAAGTTGTAAGATGGAAAGAAACGCATGCATCAAATGAAGAACCTTGCATACGCTACGCTGCTTCTTTTGCGGGGTATTCATTCTTATGCCTATAATTGGTGATCTCGTGTTTTTTATTTAGTCGTTGTGTTTCAAAACCCTGTCACAAAATTACCGATTTTACCATCAAATGTGTTAACTTTTTCTTGAAAAATTATTAGGTATGGGTTTTATGGAGATGTGATAACGGAGAGTGAGAAGTACCGTTGGATGGGACCCAAGCGGTACGACTATGCTGGGACAAAGGTTTTCCTTCAGCATAAGTATGGATTTCATAACCTTGTGATTAGAATCGTTCCTTAAATTAAATAGTGTAGTTTATCTTTGTTTTACTACTGGCATTAATGTAATTTCAAGGTCGTACGAGGCAGAAGTGAATTATGTTGAAATTGAATCCGAAAAAGGCAGCTCGATTCCCGAAACAGACCCTCAAGTGATTAGTACTGGGATTTGGTGTCTTCCTAGGAAGCGCGGTCGAGAGAGCTGCCATGCTGACTGTGCGGTGTGCAATTCGAAATCCGACGGCTCAACAAATTTAAAAGGGCTGAAATGGTCAAAGTCAAAGGGACGTTTTCTTAGTGTGGGTGCAGCCGTAATATCTTGCCGGAATGAAAAGGCACCCGATGGTTTAGTAGCTGATGCTCATCTTTCCGATGGTTTCTTGCATCTCATTTTAGTCAAAGACTGCCCTCACCCTCTCTATTTATTGTACTCTATCTCTCTCTCTCCCCCCCTCTCTCTCTCTCTCTCTCTCTCTCTCTCTCTCTCTCTCTCTCACACACACACACAGAGCTTGACAAATGTTCGATTCCACATGCAGGCATCTTATTCAGCTGGCGAGGAGAGGGGGGAACCCGCTGGATTTCAAATTCGTCGAACACCATAAAGTATGTATATTTTCTTGAAAAAAACATTGTGTTTATTTATCTGTTATGACGAATTAAACATGTCTATACATATACATGCTGACCCTTTATCATGCTCGTTTATCCAGACTCCGGCCTTCACATTCAAATCTTCCGGGAAGGAAGGTGTGTGGAATGTTGACGGTGAGCCTTTTCTAGCGCATAAGTTATCGGCACAAGTATTCCGAGGCCTTGTCAGCTTGTTTGCCACTGGTCCCGAGGCATAGTGGTAAAATCACAAATGTGGATAAATTATTTTTGCACCCTCACAAATGAGAACAATCATAATATATATATATATATATATATATATATATATATATATATATATATATATATATATATATATATATATATATATATATATATATATATATATATATATATATATGTATATATATATATATATATATATATATATATATATATATATATATATATATATATATATATATATATATATATATATATATATATATATATATATATATATATATATATATCATTGTGTCAGAAACTGTTCGTACGATGAGTTTGACACGTTGGAAGATTTTTTTCGCAAGAACCCGTTGGAGCACTCGTCACTGGCGAATCATCAAAATCGATTGTAGATAGTTCGGTTTTATGGAAAAGGAAATTGAAGTTTTGGTTTGATTGGGACATTTCATCAAACACTTCACGGTCGGAGCTAATTACCTCGGAAAAAACCGATTTCTTCGGGTTTATACTTGCTACACTTCAGAGGCGATAGATACATATTTCCTCTGTATTAATGTGCTATTAAACTCTTTCAAAAAAAATGTGCTATTAAACAATCAACTTTTATCGATATTACGTTGTGTCGATGAATATTTGTATGTATATATATGTATTTGCATACATGTAAAAAAATTACCAATTAAGATATATGAGATCTATATTTTCTGGATAGCAAAAGTCAAAAATATTATTTCAGATAGAAACAAGACCCTCGGACAAAAGATTAATGATTGAATGATAAAAGTCAACATAACATGTTCACTTCATTACCCACAGTTATTTCTTTATAAATTATAAATAATTATAATACACAACCAATAAGTACACAACAACCCATAGAAAAACACCGAATAAAACAGCACATAATAAACAAACAAAACAACAAAACTTCATCTTCATTAAAAACCAACCTACGACTTTTTAAATTATGAATACTATATTAAATTTAATTTCAAGAAAAGAATATCCTAGTATATACGCCTTTGAACTGGATGAGTGAATGTATTAGGGCATTGCTTTTCTTTCATTTTTTTTTATTAATTATATTTTTTGGGTCCAAACATGTAAGAATAGTGGTAATGGTGGAAATGTGGCACACATTAATAAACTTCCTCAGAAAAAAATCAAGTCTTTGAAATTTTGCTACACTTTTCTTGATTTAATTGAATCCTTCGTTTCTAAGGGTTATTTATTTTTGGGAGCAAAAGATGAGTTTTTGTGCTTGCAATCATACACTTGGTATGTAACTTTGTCTCTATTTCGTTGAGAATTTATTTATTTATCTTTTTTTTTTTTTTGAATTATAAGATTTCTTGTTCTATTTAAGGTTCAGTTTCAGTAGCTTTCTTTCAATTGATTAAGCAGTTGAAGAATGAAGCTTTTAGATATATTTGTTTATGCTGTTGCAGATTGTTAATTAGGTTGTGAAAAAATAGAATTGATGTGAATAAAAAAAAATGGGGGAGAAATTTAATAGCAAAGTTGAAGGGCTGTATGAACTGCCACCGCCGCCGTACACGGTGGTGGGATTAGCTGTAAGTGGTAGTGAAAAGAGCAAAACAATTATCAAATGGGCTCTGGAAAAATTTGTTCCAGAAGGAGTTGTTCATTTCAAGCTGCTCCACGTTCGCCCCGTTGTTTCTCGAATTCCGACTCCTAGTAAGTTTCTTCATTTCTCCAAAAAAAAAAAATTTAAAAAAAATTAAAATACAAGAATTTGTTACTTATCTCATGATTCTTGATTGTGTTGTGGTTATTCGAGATTAATTTTACTCGATTTTGCTTGTCACAGTGGGGAACTACATACAGATTTCTCAAGTTCGTGACGACGTGGCAGCTGCATTCAGAAAGGAAATCCAGAGTCAAGTGTCCGAAAAGCTTCTCCATTTTAAGAAAATGTTTGACCAAAAACGGGTAAAAATAAAGGCGGATTCATTCTTGAAAATTTGCCGTTTTCGTATTTTTTTGCTTGTGTATTCGATTGCTTTTTTAAATTTTACGTGCAGGTTCATGTGGAAATCGTACAAATAGAAAACAATGACGTTGTAACTGCAATATCTGCAAATATTCAAAAACATAGGATCGATAGACTCGTTATCGGTGCTTCATCTCGCAGTATTTTCTCAAGGTATACTGCCGATGGATCGCATTTTTTTTATAATGTATATTGAAATAAACGTTATTGTTTATTCTTTTTTAGGACACGTACATTGTCATCAAAAATATCGGAATCATGTCCGAGTTTCTGCACTGTATATGTTGTCTCCAAAGGGAAACTATCATCGTTAAGGCCTTCCGATTCAGAAGGAAACATTAGCTTTAGAGATGACAGTAGCGAAACAACTTGTTCGAGTTCCGATAATAATTTTTCAAGCCAGACTTCTAGCTCAAGAACAGGTATATATATATATATATATATATATTTGTATTATTTTGTAAAAAGAATCTTTCACTTTCTATTTCAAGAAAATGTCATTTATCTGTCTTTACTCAGATTGTACAACGGACCAAGATTCGTTCGCGCATTTCCGAACAGCTTCAATGCCGTTGCAACGATTTCAAGCTCTTTCGAACATAAACCAGACCCTCCATAAAAAAATGCCTTCAACTGTGATCGCACCGCATTCAAGAAATTTAACGCTCGATAATGTCGCAGATAATTTTCCCAGTGGCTCAGATGTAAATTACTACACAACTGCCAAGAACAACTTTCATAGTTTCACAAGCTCGTCTGCAGATGATAATAATCCTTCGTCTGATCAAGCTTCAACCTCCGATAATACCCCTACCAAGAATCAGGTACCGTTTTATTTTAGAAGGAAAAGAGAACACGTAGAAAGGTGTTACGATACGTTTATTTTAAGTTTTAGCCCTTGTTTATTTTGGCAGGCTGACGTAAATTTCGAGCTTGAAAAAATGAGAGTCGAACTGAGACATATTCGAGGAATGTATGCAATGGCTCAAGGCGAAGCGATTGATACTTCTAGGAAGGTAAAAGTCTTTGCATTTATAACAAATGTTTTCATGTTAAAAATATTAATTTTCTTGTTTTGTTCTTCAGTTAAGTGAACTTCAAAAACGTCGTTTGGAAGAGGAAACTAATCTCAGACAGATACGTTTCAAAGAGGAAGAAGCCAAAGAGTTGGCCGATAAGGAGAAAACGAGATACGAAGATGCTAAAAAAGAAGCTGAATTTGTCAACGAATGTGCCGAAAGAGAAGCCGAAGAAAGAAGAGATGCCGAAATATGGGCAGCCCGCGAAACCAAAGAAAAGGAAGATCTCGAAAATGCCCTCAACGGATCTTCAAGTCACTACCGTAAGTTCACGTGGGAAGAAATCGTCGATGCGACTTCGTCTTTTTCCGATGACCGTAAAATCGGAATGGGAGCGTACGGCACTGTGTATAGAAGCACCTTTCACCACACAACCGCCGCTGTAAAAATCCTCCATTCGAAAGATGCAGGCAGAAATAAGCAATTTCAGCAGGAGGTTATAAGTTATAACTTATAAAGATTCCATATTTAGTTTTCATTTCTTATTCAATTTTCGATTTGATTTTCTGATTTATATATATATATATATATATATATATATTCTAATTTCTTTTACTGATTTTATAGGTGGATATATTGAGCAAAATTCGCCATCCCCATTTGCTGATTCTTATCGGTGCATGCATAGACCATAGCTGCCTTGTATACGAGTTTATGGAAAACGGTAGCCTCGAAGATAGACTGTTTCGAAAAACGAACAAAAAGAACACCCCACCATTACTATGGTTCGATCGATTTAGAATTGCATGGGAAGTGGCTTCAGCACTTTCCTTTCTACACAACGCAGAGCCGAAAGGTATCGTACACCGTGACTTAAAACCAGCAAACATATTGCTCGGTATTAACAACGTGAGCAAAATCGGAGATGTTGGACTTTCTACGGTGGTCAACAAAGATTCCATTTCGGTGTCCGGTCTAGTGGGCACCCTTAGCTATATTGACCCAGAGTACCAAAGGACGGGGGTCGTGGCCCCCGAGTCGGATGTTTATGCTTTCGGGATGGTTGTTTTGCAACTTATTACGGGGAAACCGGCTATAGCGTTGACTCATAAAGTAGAAACTGCAGTGGCTAATGATCGGTTAACGGAGTTGTTAGATAAAAATGGTGGTGATTGGCCGATTGAAGAAACGAAGAGCTTAGCTCTAATAGCGTTGAAGTGCACTGAACTTAGACGAACTGATAGGCCTGAGATGAAAGGTGAAGTCTTGCCCGTTTTGGAGAGGTTGAAGGATTTTGCTGAGAAAACTCGAAACGTGGCTCTCGTTTCTGCCCCTAAACAGTTTATTTGTCCTATCAGCAATGTAAGAATTTATTTATTCGTCATTTGCCGATTCTATTTTGGATGAAATTTTGAATGTTTATGCGTTTGTAGGTGGTAATGAGTGACCCGTGTGTGGCTGGTGATGGATATACGTACGATCGAGGGGCGATAGAGGAGTGGATTAAGGCGAAAGATACGTCTCCGGTCACTGATTTACAATTGCCACATAAATACTTAATTCCTAATTACACTCTTCTTTCGGCTATTATGGAGTGGAATTCTTGAATTTGACGCAATTTTTTTTCTCATATATTTTGTTTTCGAGCAGTTTGTGAAGTCTGTAAATGCAGAAATTTTAAGTTGTGTAATTGCCAATTTGTATATCTATATATTATTCTATGTTGGATTCATATACAAAAAATTAAACTTAGATTGTTGGGGTTTTTCCAAAAAGAAAAAATCCCTCCAAAAAGAGGCGTATGCTGCTTGAATTGCAGCGAGCGCACGGTATTCTTTAGTAAAAGGCGAAAGAATAGTTCGCTATGTGCTCACTGCGCAGCTGCGTGATTTTCATCAGTGAGGCAGGACTTCATTTTATACAGAAACTCTTCAGTCAAGGTATATGTTTTCTTTCGATGTGGGACAATACCCAGCTTACAATAATTATTTTATTAGTGTAATCTCTTACCGGGCTATATGTTAGTGTACTGGTATTTGTAAATTCACCTATTTTCTTAAAAGAATTTAATAACTCGTACGAAATTTGTAATTCGACTTCGTGCTTCGGCAATTTGTAGCACGTTTAAGTAATAGTCAGATTATTAATAACCCATTCTTCTGATTGTGAACTGGTTTGCATAATATGAGAAGAGTCTTGTATTTGAACTCGAGTGATGAACTCTTCAATTAACTACTAATTCTTGAATAAACTCAATTAGTAGTTGTCTAATTATTGTTTCTTTCAAATGTCACAATCATATTGTATTCAATTACAATCTATATTTTTTTATAATTTAACTTATTAATTAATTAAGATAGAATTTAATTAAATTTAAACTAGGATTGGGAGGGGCCGCGCGAACGCAAGCCCCCACTAGCACAGATTATGGCGTAGGTTCGACCACTTGAATCGATCTTAGAAACTGTTCATATGATGAGTTTGAAACGTTGGAAGTTTTTTCCGCAAGAACCCTGATTTGGTCCGTAGGGCTTCTTCTCTCGGTCCAAGCGTGTGATCCGGATTCCGGTGAAAAGACCTGCAACGCCGGGAGGGTTTCCCGGCGGGAAAGCTCCGACGATCAAGTCAGTATAATGTTGTTTGAGTGTATTGGTGTAAAGTACGTATGAAAAGCATGTCCCTAAATAATATAATGTCTTCCCCTATTTATAGATGATGAAACCTTGGCCTCCAAGGTTTCCTTTTTTAGGGTTTCTTCCTGCCCTCAAGTCACGTATCTTGGGCATTTATTGCTTTGGGCTCGTTTTACTTCGTTTTGATGTTGGGCTTGCGAGCTATGGTATTTTTATGTCGTCACCGATGTATCGTGGTCCGACGACCTCTCTTGTAATATCGAGTTAGGTCATTGTGGGTTCATGTTTATTCGTTCCAGTCAGAATGGCCCGTATCAAACCCATTGGAGCAATCGTCACTGGCGAATCATCAAAATGCGATTGTAGATAGTTCGGTTTTACGGAAGAGGAAATTGAAGTTTAGGTTTGATTGGGACATTTCATCGAACACTTCACAGTCGGAGCTAATTGCCTCGAAATAAAAGATTGCTTCGGGTTTATACTTGCTACACTTGTGAAGCGATAGAAATATTTCCTTTGAGTTAATGAAGCGATAGATATATCAACTTTTATCAATATTACATTTTGTGAATTAAGCTCAGCTATTGTTATTTTATAGTTTGTACTCGTTTTAACTCGAAATTAGACAACTATGCATCATTCTATAAATTTAAAAAGAACAAATAAATAATTAGCACTTTGACTCGGTCAATGTATTTAAAAAAGAAACAAAAGATCCTCCGACAATTATTTCTTACCAATACTCCAAACTTATTTAATTAACTGATTTAATAAACAAACAAAACAACAAAGACTTCATCTTCACAAAAAAGTCAACCTACGACTTTTGAAATGTGAATACTATATATATAAATAAAATAAAATAAATTTCAAGAAAATAACTGGATGAGTGAATGTGTTAAGGAACAGCTTTCATTTCATTTTATTTATTTATTTATTTTTATTTTATTTCATTTGCTCCAAACGTGTGAGAGTAGTGCTTTGTGGTGGAAATGTGCCACACATGAATAAAACTGTTTAACCTACTTCCCCAGAAAAAAAAATCCAGTCTTTGAAATGTTTCCAAGGGTTATTTTGAGTGCAAAAGATGAGTCTTTTTGCTTCCAATCATACTCTACACTTCAAGGAAATTTCAAGGTTTGTATGTAACGTTTCTTTTATTTTATTTCTATTTATTTATTTTCAAAGAATTGTAAGATTTCTTGTTCTATTTTAATGTTCAAGAAAATGCTAGCTGTATCTCTCTCTCTCTCTCTCTGTGTTGTATAGCTTGGGATTTGTTCAGTTTTTCATTAGCTTTCTTTTAATTGATTAAACAATTGAAGAATGAAGCTTTAGATTTTGTTTATGCTGTTGCAGATTGTTAATTAGGTTGTGAAAAAATAGAATTGATGTGAATAAAAAAAAATGGGGGAGAATTTTAGTGGCAAAGTTGAAGGGCTGCCACCACCGCCGTACACGGCGGTGGGATTAGCTATAAGTGGAAGTGAAAAGAGCAAAACTATTATCAAATGGGCTCTGGAAAAATTTGTTCCAGAAGGAGTTGTCCGTTTCAAGCTGCTCCACGTTCGCCCCGTTGTTTCTAGAATCCCGACTCCTAGTACGTTTCTTCGTTTATCCCGAAAACAAAAAATTCCGAGACTTTATTGCTTATCTCATGACTCTTGATTGTGTTTGGTCCTTCGAGATTAATTTTGCTTGTTACAGTGGGGAACAGCATCCAGATTTCTCAAGTTCATGATGACGTGGCAGCCGCATTCCGAAAGGAAATCCAGAGCCAAGTGTCCGAAAAGCTTCTCCCTCATAAGAACATGTTTGAAGAAAAAAGGGTAAAAGAAAATGTGGATTCATTCTTGAAAATTTGCCGTTTTCCTGTTTTTTTTTGGCTTATATATTCGATTCTTTTTTTAATTTTACGTGCAGGTACATGTGGAAATCATACAAATAGAATGCAACGACGTTGTAACTGCAATATCTGCAAATATTCACAAGCATAGGATCAATAGACTAATTATCGGTGCTTCATCTCGCAGTATTTTCTCAAGGTATAATGCCGATGAGTCACATTTTTTACTAATGTATATTGAAATAAACATTATTTTATTTTATTTTTAATTTTAGGACACGTACATTGTCATTAAAAATATCGGAATCGTGTCCGAGTTTCTGCACTGTATATGTTGTCTACAAAGGGAAACTATCATCGTTAAGGCCTTCCGATTCGGAAGGAAACATAAGCTTTAGAGATGACAGTAGCGAAACAACTTGTTCGAGTTCTGATAATAATTCTTCAAGCTATACTTCTAGCTCAAGAACAGGTATATATATACATACATATACATAATATATTTATATTATTTTGTTAGAGAATCTCTTTCACTTTCTATTTCAAGAAAATGTCGGTTATGTGTACTCAGATTGTACAACGGACCAAGATTCAGTCGCGCATTTCCGATCAGCTTCACTCCCATTGCCATTGCAGCGATTTCAAGCTCTTTCAAACATAAACCAGACCCTCCATAAAAAAATGCCTTCAACTGTGATCGCACCGCATTCAAGAAATTTAACGCTCGATAATGTCGCGGATAATTTTCCCAGTGGCTCAGATGTAAATTACTACACAACTGCCAAGAACAACTTTAATAGTTTCACAAGCTCGTCTGCAGATGATAATAATCCTTCGTCTGATCAAGCTTCAACTTCCGATAATACCCCTACCAAGAATCAGGTACCGTTTTATTTTATTAAAAAAAATGTGTAGGAAGGTGTTACTATACATTTATTTTAGTTTTAGACCTTGTTTATTTTGGCAGGCTGACGTAAATTTCGAGCTTGAAAAAATGAGAGTCGAACTGAGACATATTCGAGGAATGTATGCAATGGCTCAAGGCGAAGCGATTGATACTTCTAGGAAGGTAAGAGACTTTGCATTTATAACAAATGTTACTTATCTTTTTCTTGTTAAAAAAAATAATAATTTTCTTGTTTTGTTTTTCAGTTAAGTGGACTTCAAAAACGTCGTTTGGAAGAGGAAACTAATCTCAGAAAGATAAGTTTCAAAGAGAAAGAAGCCAAAGAGTTGGCCAATAAGGAGAAAACGAGATACGAAGATGCTAAAAAAGAAGCGGAATTTGTCAACGAATGTGCCGAAAGAGAAGCCGAAGACAGAAGAGATGCCGAAATATGGGCAGCCCGCGAAACCAAAGAAAAGGAAAATCTCGAAAATGCCCTCAACGGATCTTTAATTCAATACCGTAAGTTCACGTGGGAAGAAATCGTAGATGCAACTTCGTCTTTTTCCGATGACCGTAAAATCGGAATGGGAGCGTACGGCACTGTGTATAGAAGCACCTTTCACTACACAACCGCCGCTGTAAAAGTCCTCCATTCGAAGGATGCAAGCAGAACTAAGCAATTTCAGCAGGAGGTTATAAGTTATAACTTATAAAGATTCCATTTTTACTTTTCATTTTGTTTCGATTTTCGGTTTTCTGATATATATATATATATATATATATATATAATAATTTCTTTTACTGGTTTTATAGCTGGATGTATTGAGCAAAATTCGCCATCCGCATTTGCTGATTCTTATCGGTGCATGCATAGACCACAGTTGCCTTGTATACGAGTTTATGGAAAACGGTAGCCTCGAAGATAAACTGATTCGGAAAAAGAACAAAAATAACGCCCCACCACTACTATGGTTCGATCGATTCAGAATTGCATGGGAAGTGGCTTCAGCACTTTCCTTTCTACACAGCGCAAAGCCGAAAGGTATCGTACACCGTGACTTAAAACCAGCAAACATACTGCTCGATATTAACAACGTGAGCAAAATCGGAGATGTCGGACTTTCGACGGTGGTCAACAAAGATTCCATTTCGGTATCCGGTCTAGTGGGTACCCTTAGCTATATTGACCCCGAGTACCAAAGGACGGGGGTCGTGGCCCCCGAGTCGGATGTTTATGCTTTCGGGATGGTTGTTTTGCAACTTATTACGGGAAAACCGGCTACAGCGTTGACTCATAAAGTGGAAACGGCAGTGGATAATGATCGGTTAACGGAGTTATTAGATAAAAAGGGCGGTGATTGGCCGATCGAAGAAACGAAGGTTTTAGCTCGAATGGCGTTGAAGTGCACCGAACTTAGACGAATTGATAGGCCCAAGATGAAAGGTGAAGTCTTGCCCGTTTTGGAGAGGTTGAAGGATTTTGCTGAGAAAGCTCCAAACTTGGCTCTCGTTTCTGCTCCTACACAGTTTATTTGTCCCATCAGCAATGTAAGAATTTATTTCATTATTTATTCGTTATTTTACGATTTTATTTAGGATGAAATGTTGAATGTTTACGTGTGTGTTTGTAGGTTGTAATGAGTGACCCGTGTGTGGCTGGTGATGGATATACGTACGATCGAGGGGCAATAGAGAAGTGGATTAAGGTGAAAGACACGTCTCCGGTCACTGATTTACAATTGCCACATAAACACTTAATTCCTAATTACACCCTTCTTTCAGCTATTATGGAGTGGAAGTCTTGAACAATCGACCTAAATTTTTTCGTGTACTTTGTTTCGAGCAATTTGTAAGGTCTGTAAATGAAGAATTTTGTCTGGTTTATTTGCCAATTACTATATTTATATATTTTAAGTTGGATTCATATACAAAAAAATCAAACTTAAATTGTAAGTTCGTTTCATATACTAAAAATTGAACTTAAATTGTTGGGGTTTTTCTTAATAGAAAAATCCCTCCAAAAAGAGGCGTATGCTGCTTGAATTGCAGCGAGCACACGGTATTCTTTAGTAAAAGGCGAAAGAATAGTTCGCTATGTGCTCACTGCGCGGCTGCGTGCTTTTCTACAGTGAGGTAGGACTTCATTTTATACAGAAACTCTTCAGTCAAGTTATATGTTTTCTTTCGATGTGGGACAATACCCAACCTACAATAACAATTTTATTAGTGTCAATCTCCAACTGGGCTTTTTACTATTTCCTGTGAAGATTGCAGAATCAAACTAATTCTGAAACAGTCAAATCAACAATTGTCGAAACCGAATTGCAATATTGTTCGGATCCCCACCGATTCATGCCTCCAAGATACTCGTTCCTGTTTCATTACTGGTTGCTATTTGATATTTCACATCTTTTTTTAAAAGAATTTAATAACTCCTTCGAAATTTGTAATTCGACTTCGTGCTTCGGCAATTTGTAGCACGTTTTAAGTAATTGTCAGATTATTGAATAGCCCATTCTTCTAACTATGAACTGGTTCGCAAAATATGAGAAGAGTCTTGTATTTGTACTCCAGTGACGAACTTTTCAATTAACTACTAATTCTGGAATAAATTTAATTACTAGTTTATCTATTTACTCATTCTCTCAAATGAATGCACAATAAAATTGAATTGAAAGAATATGAATTAATTTAATAGCTAATTTTTATTGTTTAATTAGTAGTTATCTATCTAATCACTGTTTCTCTCAACTGAATGCATAATAATTTAATATGAATTAATGTTTTAATAACTTCATTCCAATTGGCTAAATAAAATGAAATTATACTCTTAATTAACTTTATTTAATAAATAAAACGAAAAAGTTATAACTAGGGTTTGGCGGGGGCCGCGCGAACGCAGGCCCCCACTGGCACAAATTATGACGTAGGCTCGACCACTTGGATCGACCTTAGGCGGGCGCCCCTCCAAAGTGCAATGGAGGTCACATGCCTAGGCCATGGTCCTTCTTGATCGACCATTGACCCCGTCCAGGTAAGTGCTTTCTCCTTTGCCCTTCGCTCCATTTATATACTAACTCTCACCCCTCCCTAGCAACATATTTTTCCGATGTGGGATTTTTAACCCTCCAAATAAAGGCAACAAACTCCTATTTCAATTCTCTCAATACACTCTTTCTTATTTCCACAATGACAAAATTTACTTACCAGATAAATTCAAGCTAACCAAGTATAGTTTATTAATAAAAATAATTGGTAAAATTAAATTAATAAATTATCATCAATTATTAATAATTAAATAAATGAAATTTTGCTGTCTTTAAAAAATAGAGGAGCAGCAAAGCAGCATTGACTTTTTATCTGTCATGTGTTGTGTTATACTTATACATAGAACCTACACTAGTTTTCGATCGAGTTTTCCGAGATTAAATATGTCGACGTATTTTTTTATATTTCAGACATGGCCTCAACTAGTTGACAAGTTTCTAAATTCAGGTTCTTTTGATAGAATATACTCTAAACAAATATGCTAATTAGTGCTGAGAAACGATAATCGATAAGACATGCGAGCAACTAAGCAATGATCACACGGAGATTAGTCATTAATTAAACTAATGTTTAATCATCTGTAAGTATAACGGTTTTTTTGACTCAGGCACACAACGCGCAAAAGTCAAAACAGCAGATATCCAGCCAGACGAATTATGTTTTAGTATTTAACTAATTCGATTCCCACGTTTTGACATCTTTCACATAATGTATGTAAATGCATGCAACTCCTACAACACCATCGCATTATCGAGCAATTAATTATTCTTCTGTACTCGGACGTTTTTTGTAGCTGTTTGAAAATCTAATCTAAGGCTTTTTAAAGAGCAGGTACGTTGTTTTTCGTTTTTCTTGAAAACTCGGAGATGCATTATAATATTTTCGAAATAGGATTCACTAATATATAGTTAGTTCTGTTTATCTGAAATCTTTTTTTTTTTTGTGAAAAAAAAAATAAAAGAAGGTGACGGAAGAAACGGAAAACAAGAAAATGTCGAAAGCGGACGATCTCAAGAACAATGGATGCGTGGTTGCATTAGCAATAACTTGCAGCAAGAAAAGCAAATCCGTGATAAAGTGGGCTTCGGAGAATTTAATCCAAGACGAAGGATTCGGACAAGTCTCCTTCAAACTGCTGCACGTTTTCCCGGAGATCACTACAGTTCCTACACCAAGTGAGTTATTTCATTTATTTTTTCGTTGATTCTGTAATAGAATTACCTGTTGCATTCGTCTTAAAAAAACCGTTCTGCGTAGTATATATGTATATACTTTTTGTCTGATTATTCTACTTTCGGAAAGCAAAAGTGGGAAACGGAATTCCGATCGCACAAGTAAGAGATGACGTGGCAGCGGCTTACAGAAAAGAAATCGAATGGCAAACCAACGAAAAGCTTCTGCCTTACCAGAATTACTGCATCAGAAGAAAGGTGGTTTTTTTTTTTTTGTTCCATAATTATTTATTTTCAAAAGAGTAACAAAAATTCCGAAACTGAAATCCGAGCACTACTAATGTAGATTCAAGCAGAAGTTGTAACCATCGAATCGGACGACGTCGTAAATGCAATAGCCGATGAAATCGCTAAATCCAATATCAAGAAACTCGTCATTGGAGCTTCGTCTGCCGGAGGCGTGTTTTCTAGGTATAATTAAACACAATATTATCAATGAAAATAAAATCAAGAAAATATTATCATCAGAAACCTCACTAATAAACATAACAGTTCTTATTGGATGCCTAGAGCACAAACTCTGTCACCGAGAATCTCCGAAACATGCCCCGGCTTTTGCACCGTTTACGTCATTGCTAAAGGCAAACTCGCCTCCATCCGCCCCTCTGATCCAGACGCAAATTCCATCAAACGAGACGAACCCATCGATAACACTGATCGATTCAGCAATTTTTCTTCGAGCTACACGACAAGCTCGCAACCTGGTACGATTTTAATTTTCTTGTCCGAAAATCCTCGTACTAAACAAAATTTTAAGACATTAAAATATATATACATTTTTTTTTTAAATCAGATTGGACGATGCAAATTAGTTCACCGGTTATGTACCCTCAGTTCGTACCACCTTCGCCAACAAGGCAATTCCAACCGGTTTCGCCTATGAATAACAGCCCGATTAATTCAAGAACGAGTTTTAGTGAAAATAAATCTCTGTCTTACTACATTGGAGAACACGAGGATGACGGAAATTCCAGCTCAAGTTTCTCGGATATAACCGATCAGAAGAGCAAAGAATCGAGTTTTACGAGCATGATAACCGACGGCCATTCTTGGACCACCGATCAATCTTCCAGCTTAAATGCTTCCACTGATTTTTCATCCGGAAGTCAGGTAATAAATACGTAACAATACACTACGTAATCATCGTTAATTTTATACATTATTACATGAACATAGTCCTGTTTTTTTTTTTGCCAGACTAATATCAACTTTGAGCTGGAACAACTAAGAATGGAACTAAGGCATGCACAAGGAATGTATGCAATGGCACAAAACGAGGCGTTGGACGCGTCTCGTAAGGTACTTTTTTCAAGAACGTAGATTATAAAAGTTTCGATTTTTATATTTTTTTTACGCGGGCTTATTATACATAACGTCTTTTTTTTTAGCTAAACGGTCTTCAGCATCAGCGATTAGAAGAAACGATGAAGCTAAACGAGATGAATCTCAAAGAAGAGGAAGCGAAGGAGTTAGCTGCACAAGAAAAAATCAGATACGAAGCTGCGAAAAAGGAAGCCGAATACGCAAAAGAATGTGCAGATAAAGAAGCTGCACTCAAAGCAGCAGCAGAGAAAAAGGCCACAAGGGATGCTAAAACGAAAGAAAAGCTCGAGAACACTCTAGCGAGCCCCGTTCATCACTATCAAGAATTCACGTGGGAGGAAATTTACTCCGCCACGTCATCACTCTCGAACGACCTCAGAATCGGAATGGGATCGTACGGAACTGTTTACAAGTGCATCTTACGCCACACGAACGCTGCCGTGAAAATCCTCCATTCTATGGCAACTAGCAGAAACAAACAGTTTGAGCAGGAGGTACTGATATAATCCATGCATGCACGCATTAGTATATATATCGAATGATTTACGTAACGATTTTTTTTTTCAGCTCGAGATATTGAGTACGATTCGACATCCGAATTTGCTAACACTTCTTGGAGCATGCCCTACACGTGGTTGTTTAGTGTATGAGTACATGGAAAACGGAAGCCTCGAAGAGAGATTATTCAGAAGAAACAACTCGCCTCCGATTCCTTGGTACGAAAGATACCGTATAGCTCGTGAAGTAGCGTCGGCTTTAATCTTCCTACACAACTCGAAACCTAAGCCGATAATCCACCGTGACCTAAAACCGGCAAACATACTACTCGACCACAACTTCGTCAGCAAAATCGGAGACGTCGGCTTATCCACAATGCTGAACTCAGACACGACGAGCGCGGCAACTATGTACAAAGACACGAGCCCCGTAGGAACCCTTTGTTATATAGATCCAGAGTATCAAAGGACAGGTCTCGTTTCACCGAAATCCGATGTCTATGCGTACGGAATGGTGGTTCTGCAGCTGCTTACTGCGAAACCTGCTATTGCACTTGCTAGGACAGTTGAGATGGCGCTCGATGATGATGACGTGGCGAGGATTTTGGATAAGGAGGCGGGTAGTTGGCCGATAGAGGAGACGAAGGAGCTCGCTGAGCTGGCACTGAGGTGTACTGAGCTTCGGCATAGAGACAGGCCGGATTTGAGGACTCACATTCTGCCTACTTTGGAGAAGTTGAGAATGGTTTCGATGAAAGCTCACGATTTGGCTGTTTTGGGCCCCACGGGCCCGCCTAATCATTTCATATGCCCCTTGCTTAAGGTATGAATAGATTCTTGATTTTTTTAGTGATTTTCCTTTTTTATAAAAAAAAAATATTTTAGTTAATTTATTTAATTTTTGGTTGCAGGATGTGATGAATGATCCTTGTGTGGCTGCTGATGGATATACGTACGATCGAAAAGCGATCGAAGAGTGGCTGAGGGAAAATAACACTTCGCCTGTGACGAACTTGCCTTTGCTTAGCAAGAGTCTTATACCGAACCATTCACTTCTTACAGCAATCATGCAGCAAAAATCAGCATAATAATCTTGTAAACTAATGTTTCGATTTTTTCTGTCTTTGGAATGTGGAGTGGTGTCGTTTTATCGTCTGAAAAATATAGTAAAGTATTTTTCCGTGTTCTTTTTTTTTAAATTTGTTCGTTTCGGGAGTGTATTATACAATAATGGTTAATTCTCAATTATTGATCACTATATTTGCAGAGAGCATAATTGCTTATTCAATGTTTTTGTTCTGTTTTTTTCTTTTTTCTCGCCATTATTTTCTGAGCATTCGAAGGTTCGATTATTAGTTTATATTCGATAAAAGTAGAGATTAACCCGTAACGCGCAAGAGAAAAGATCACATAAAAGCCGAATTCCCAAGAAAAAAGAATGCGAACCGTTAGTCCAACAATAATGGTTAGTTTTGTACACATCCAACTGAACCGAGATAAGAAATTACAGTTACAAAAATAAGATTCTGATCTTCGTCGGAATCCGATAGGCCGATACTAACTAGCCGAAACAATCTTTACTCAGTAGAAAGATAAAGAAAATAGCCGAAAAAATGTGCTCTTTTTTTCGTCAACATTTCTTCATGTTGTATTGTTACAGTAGGGCTAAACCAATACGGTACTTTTGACTAACGTAAAACCGACAACTCTGCGATAAACCTTAGCTCGTATCCATCCATCAAGACTCGATCGTCCATTAAGATGGTTGTAGTTGAAAGATCTCAACTTCTTTTCACAGTCATTCAAAAATTAACGGCCACTGTTAATTGAGAATATACTCTGACGGCAATCTAGTTTCCTGTCGGTTTGACAAAACTCGGCATCTGTTGACTTCGACAACTGAATCTTTGCTAAGTCTCCACGCTAAAAGTCAACCCAAGTCACTTTCTGACATTACGACAACCTCGGTTAGTTGTTGCCATGATCACCGAATAAGTCAACCAACTAAGTTGACTACTCCCCCCCCCCCCCCAAAAAAAAACAAAGAAAAAACAGAATCTTTACTTAACAATTTCTTCGAGCTTTTCGAGAATTTGCTTTATACTAGGCCGTACATTACGTGAGGGAGAACAACAAGCCATTGCTAGTTGAAAATATCTCAAAATACCATCTTCCGTAACTACTCTTTCATCGTTGCTAAGCCCAATCAAAATATCCGGATGGTACAACTGCACCGCTCGATCATCAAGAATCGCACTTCTCAAAGCACTCGGCAAATAAAAGTCTTGATCTTGATCCGCGTTCTCGTTGATTGCCTCTTTGCCGGTCAGTAATTCTAGAAAGATTACACCTAAGCTGTAAATATCGCTCTCTTCACACGCGTCTTTCATTTTGATCAGCTCGGGGGGCTTGTACCCCCGAGACGATAATACTTGAACCATTTCTTGACCCGCGGTTGGATTGAGAAGAAGATGCAAACCGAAATCGGAGACGTAAGGTTGGTAATTGGAATCTAGGAGTATATTCTTTGACTTGAGGTTGCCGTGTACTATGGGCTTGTTTAAAGACGTTTGAAGATGGTGAATTCCTCTAGCGATGCCGATCGAGATTCTGCATATCGTGGGCCATTTGCGAGCTTCGCCATTGCTATCTGTAAATTTAGAACACATTTATTGCACGTACTACGATTCGAAATACATGTAACGGAAGAGATTGCAGCGATAATCCGAGACGTAAAGACTATTTAATGAATCTGAAACGGTATCGAAAAGACTAAACCCGAACCACCTTCCAAATCTTTGTCCAACTGCTAATGAAGTAAAATTCGATCGAGCTACGACTTTACTTTTTTAAAACAACCGAATCAACACGTAAATGCAAACGAAACAAACAACATCCAAACTACGAACCGGAGTAAAATCAATGCAACAGTACTAAAAATCAAGATTCACTAAAAAAATTTATATACATAATAAAGATTGAATTTTTTTACCTCTGATAAACTGAGACAAATTCCCAAGCCCGAAAAAGGGATGAACCATCAGCTTCTCCCCTCTCGGGCCGGCGTAAAACGCAGTCAGAGGCACCAAATTCGGATGCCTTACAGACCCCAAAACCTCAACAATCGGCATTACATCTTCTGTGCTCATCGTACAAGTAGGTCTCAGAAACCTAAGCAATGCAAGAGAATTTGAATTGACCAAATTAGCCCTGTACAGTGTCCCATATGTTGATTTTCCGATGACCTCACCGGGGGCATCGAGAATTTCCTGTACGGTAAGATTCTCGCCGCCGTGGAACTTGATCAAACCCTCTGCTTGCACCACCGCTTCTCCAGCTTCTGCGTCTGTGTAAGTGTTAGAACCGCCATTTTCTTGTTTTGTTCTTCTGGCATAAAAGAGTGCGATCAGAAGAAGTGCTAGGGCTGATAACGAGGTTAGACCTATGATTAGTGCGAGTTTATATTTGTGTAACATTTTTTTTTACATTGGATTGAATGATTGATCTTCTGGGTTTTTTTATTTAGTGGTAAAGATTGAAGCTTTATTATGGGTTTTTTTTATTTAGTGGTAAAGATTGAAGCTTTATTGTGGGTTTTTTCTATTTAGTGGTAAAGATTGGAGCTTTATGATGGGTTTTTTGTTGAAAATAAGAAGGGCCAAGATCTGAAAATGGTGGGAAGAAAATTTAAGGAAAATCTGAATTATGAAACTGGCAATAAGATTCACTGGTGGCACTGCAAAAATGATGACTTTAGAGATTGCTTGCAGAAAAGTCTCGGCTGTGTGTCAGTGTGTGTCTGTGTGAGAGAGAGATCTAGAGAGAGAGAGAGGAGAGAGAAAGTAGAAGAGAGATGGAGGAAGACAGAGGCAGGTGGTGGATCCATGTGATGTTTTATTATCTACTATGTATGAATGAATGAATGAATTTTTGCTGATGTTTGTGCTGTTCACGAATTAATGGTTTAGACTTATTCAGTCTGCTGCATTATATATATATATATATATATATATATATATATATATATATATATATATATATATATATATATATATATATATATATATATACTTCAATTAAACTTTTATTTATTTATTATATACAAACATGTATAGAGAAAAACTGACAACAGATTGAAAACTACTTAAAATCATACCTTGTGCAGTTTCTTTTTTTATTAAATAAAGCCATTAATGGGGATGTAAATTCAAACATTGGATTCATTTAGCATTACGTTACCAGTTTTCAAATTACACGAGAGTTGTAAATCATGTTAGGTTAACAATGAAAATTATAGTTAATCATGTTTGACAAGCTCGAAATAATTTGAATTCAGATCGATTAACACGAGCTCACTTGCTCTAACAGCTAAACCATTTCTTACTCGACATGTTACCATACATTTAACTTTATGGATGGCAGTTAGGCGACCCAATAATTGACATGGTACTGAAATGTAGTTATCAACTCCAGACAAGTTTTTTAATAATTAAGCACTTTATTTTTGACATTTATTTGGTAATACCTTATTCTAATCAAATCAAATGGGACCCACCCACACCCCATTTCCACCACGTGTGGGGGTGATTACAAATAATCAGAAATGTTTGAATTTTTTTGGATGTTCTGAAATTTCTCATTTTTCAATAACATATTTTGGTTAAATTATTTAATGCCATTAAAATTTTGCTGAAAAAGCATAATGGATCCAAAACAATGTAAATATACTGAAGTTTAGGCCCACTTTGGTTATTGGACCACATAAGATTGGGCCTTCCATTGTGCAGAAAAAGAAACCACTATTTATAAAAATGTTTTGTACAAATTTAATCAAAAAAAGTGAATTATTTTTTTAAAAATACAAATTTCCTGTTAGGCTCTACTGAGACAGAATTGTTCATTTTTTTTTAAATTTAATTAATATATAATAAAGTTCATAACTGCTTCAGCTTTTTTTTTACGGTTGACTTGACTCAATTTAATCATGCTTTATTCAACTCTTCAAAATCAGATGTAGGGTGCTGACAATGTAGCACGTCTAATTTTACTATTTATTATTTATTATTGACCACTTAATTATTTATTTTTCTTGTCCACTCAATATTAAATATTTAAATCTTAATAATAAAGCAAAAAAGCAGAAAAAGGAGAAATAGACAAGAATAAATGTTTTCTCTTTTGACGGCCACCTCATACTAATGGTTGGTGGTCCTATTACATTACTCTTCTCTAGTCATAATCAAAATATTAAATTATTTTTCTTTAAATAAATAAATAAAAAATAAATTATTATTTAATAATTAAATATATAATTCTCTCCTGTTAACTTCCCTGCTTTTCTGTACACATACATTGAAACATGACCCAAAAGATTCATGTTCAAAATGTCATGAATTAATAAACAAGTAAAAGAGAGAATGAATTAGTCACTGTATAAATCAAACACGAATCAAATGTACAGTTAAACTTTATTTAACATTGAAATCAAACCCTAATCCCAATCAAGGTATGTAATACATCGGATTCGAAAGCTTAAAAGAACGTTCCGAAACCGACGACCCCAATAAATCACTCCATTGATCTCCAGAGTTTCCCAATATTCGATAACCCTCTTCGACGAGCTCGTTCCTCTTTTCGGATTTATACTCTTTTGCAGTCTTTCCGTGATCTTCCGTTGACCTGCAATACTCAAAGTCAAACATAGATACAATCGAACAAATTAAGTTCGTTTAAAAAAAAAATCCCTTTTCATCGACAATATTGCTTAAAAAACGGACTCGTATCGTTTAACGAAAAACAGTTGATATGTATACTAGAAAGTCGACCGTGTATAGCATAATTATATTCAAGATGCTAAGGCATTCTTCTTCTTGATGAATTCACTATTTTGTCACGAGAAAACGAATTAAGGCCAATACACAAAATCGAGAAAATGTTTCGTTAGCAAACTCACCGTAATATGAGCTTTTCCCAATCGCAAAATCCAGCTTTGGACAAATTCTCGACCGTAATACTTCGATGCCTCTCACTTCTACCGGTCAACAAGATCGCCTTGAAACCTAACCTCAAAACCTCTCTATAGAGATTCAAACTCGACTCTATAGCCGGCGCATTCCCGGTCTCTACCCACTTATCGAATTTCGCGCTATCGAATATCTCCAAGCTACATTCACCCCAAAAACCGCAACAAACATATCAAAACACAACAATATACAATCAAGAACGAACCCTAAAATTCGTCGACAACGTACAATTAGTGAAAATAAAAAACGAAAACTTGAAAGAATTAAAATTAAAATACCCATAACCATGAGCAGCATAATACGGAAGATTCGAAAGGAGGGTCTCGTCGATATCGAAAATCCAAGCATCTCTTCCATCATTGCTCAAATTGACAGTTGTTGCAAAAGCTCCAGCAATTTTGGAAACCCTAACAAGATCAAATTCATAGCCCTTCCCCTTTATATATTCCTTGACATAATCAATGCATTCCTCTGGAATTGTTCTCCATGGGTTTAAATTATTGGCCTCCCCTGCAACTCTCCAACTCGTGCACTGTAATTCATCTTCTCTTTGAGGCCATTCTTTCAATTGGGCTCCGTCAATTTCGGAGAATTGACCAATCACAGGCCTTGTAATTGGGAATAGACCGTCTTCTTGAGAGAAACAGGCAAAGGGCAAAACGGACAACAGGACGAGGATTTTTTCCAGGAGACGACTCATCATGGATTGGAACCAATTGAAATATAATTAAAAAAAAAAAATCTTTTTTTTTTGAATTTCAAGATTGGTTTTTTAATTTCAAGATTGCTTTTTTAATTTTTATATGGGTCAAAGGAAAAGGGGAGGGGGGAAATTTGTTTGGTGGGGTTTCGATTTTACTACTCAAGAAATATATGCGTTTCTTGATGTGAAAATTTGGAAACCCCTATTGAACAGTTTGCTTTGTTATTCTTGTTTTTATGGCCTGGATTTGGGGTGTTTGGGATTATGATAATAATGCGTGTGAGTGAAGTATTAAATAGAACAGATGCGTAGAATATTATTTTATTATTTTATTATTTTATTACACGCATTCATGTGTGTAATGTCTGATTGACTACTGCTTGGTCGGTGGGGTTCGGCCAATGAGATTGCTTCAAAAAGTATGGAGGTTATGTTGGTTGGGGTGGTTAATATCCATGCCTTTCTTTTGTAAATTAAATAGAATAAAGAATATGCCAAATTACGGTTACCCCTCAGTTTTGGTAAAATTACGAAAACCCTTCATATTTTGGTAATTACAGTCTCTTCTCTCAACTATGTATTATCTTGCGAAAGTACCCTTCAAGAGGTAAATTTAGGGATGTTAAATTGGTAAAATTGAACCGAAATTTCGGTACGCCAATATTTCATAACGTTAACCGAACTAAATATACGACTTGGTTCGGTAAATAACCGAATTACATAAATTTATGTAAAAATATTTAAAAGGAGCGTGGCTGTAATTACCCAAACAAGTGGAATTTTTTAGTAATTTAATCATATCTCAAGGGTGGTCGTAATTTGCTCTATTTTAAATAATATACGAAGTGTGCAGACAAAGTTTTATTGCTTATATATGAAGTTTGCGGTTATACTTTGAATTTTTATTTGAATTTGAAAAGTAGAACCACCTAATTCACCCAATATCAAGTACAACTCAACAAATTTAGGGCTTAGACCCGAACTATCAATACTTTTCCGATCGAACTCGTTTGTCGCACTAGACTCTAATAACTTATCAATCCCATCAACATTCCAAACGATGCCGTTTGGCCTAAGAGAACTTGTAATCGGGATTGTTTCTAATCAATATAGAGCAAATAAACATTAAGCTCGAGTATTTCAACAAAAGCAACACTAAACGCAAGAAAGAGACTCAATGTACTGAAATCCTTGATGAATACCGGGATACATTAAACACCGTTCGATCATATCCGTATCTTCAACCACAGGTAAGTTTTCGCAAGTCTTGCTAACAAGATTGTATCGGATTGCTTTCCCGGGAAGCTGGATAACCAAGAAAGAATCCTCCTCCCTCTCTCCGCGTATTATAGCAAGCACCGAAAAAACCAAGTTGCACAACCCGAACTCGTGAGCACGACCCACCACCATCTCAGGATTAGAATAAACAATTGACGAAAGATTTACCTTGTGCACGACGAACCACTCCGAGTAATCCCTTCTCATCTCGTACACATTGAATCCAATTGAAGGACCGGTCATCTCAGTCAAATGCAAATGACCACACGATTCTCCAAAGTAATAATCGGTCCTATTGTTCCAGCCTTGCCTTCCAGGCCTCTTGGGCATTTTATCGAGCACCTGGGTGTCGATGTTGAAGTAGAACGAGTCTACTTTCCCAGAACCCAGCCAATGGACCGCGCGATTCCAATAGACACCATTGTCGAAATTAACCGTAGCTTCAAATTGCTCGCCGCATAATTGCCAGGAACCAGTCTCCGACGAGTACACTCTGATCTGAAACACCTTGTTGCCGGAATTTACTCCCACCGACAAGATGCTGAGGCAAACAACGTTGTAGTGACGAGACATAGCAGGATCAAACGCTAAGCTCATCCAACACACCGCGTTCAAAAACACGATTCTCTCGTTGGGTTTCGGCAGCTCGGAGAAGCAATTGGTTGTCGGATTGTAAACACAGTACTTAGGGTTTTTATGGTACCGAGGGGAGCTGATACAGAGCAGAAGCCCATTGCAGGATTGAATAATTCTGAAGCCGAGAGAGTCTCCGGTGAATTCCGATGACCTAAACGGCGGGGGAATTGATCTGTTGGCGTGGAATGGGAGAGATAACCACCGATGAGGTTCGTCGGAGGGGAAAAAGAGGCCGATTGCGGGATTTGGATTGGGATTGCGGAGATGGCAGAACTCTGGGTCGGAGATGAGAGACAGCCATTCTTTCGACACCGATTTGAAGCGCGTGAGAGATTTTATGGGGAGGAGTAGCAGGATTCTCGTCAGAAGATGGTAGATCGAGGCGACGATTTCCGCCGGTGTTGGGTGCTCGGATTCCATATTCGGCGGCGCGTACGTTTAACAGTAAATTGGGCTCACAGTATATAGTTCATTTGGTATCCAGCCCATGGGTGCTTCTATTGGGCTTTGTAATTTGTTGTTCATTTATTAAATAAAATAATCAATTGACAATTAATTAATTATAATTGAAATTTGAAGCATACTAGTATCAATTAAATTAAAAAAAAAAAAACGCAATTAATTGTTTTTTAAAATTAGTAATTGGGAAAATCAGAATTTTCGTCACTCAAGTTAGCACTGATTTCGCATTTCGTCTCTCATGTTCAAAAAAAAAAAAACACATTTGGTCTAGCATGTTTCAAAAATTCAACACTTTTGCTCATTTCGTCAATTTTCCGTTAAAACTAACAGAATCAAGAGTGTGCCCATAACTGCCTCAACGGATAGAATAACGAAAAATTGACGGAAATGACAAAAGAAATAGTAAATTATTGAAACATGAGAGACCAAATGTGTTTTTCGTGAACATAGGGGGCGAATGTGAAATAGATGCAAACTTGAGGTGTGAAAACTGTAATTATAGCAGTAACAATTATTAATGAAGTGCAAAGGACTATTAAATAAAATAAAATAAATAGCCTCCCAACTTGGTTATACCCAGGAACCAAAACCCTAGAAGAAACAAACCCTCAGTCCCCAATTCAGAATTCGCAGAAAGAGGGGAAGAGTAATTTTTCATCAGAAGCAGTAATCAACAATGGCGAAATCAATGAGATCGAAGAGGGAGAAGAGGCTGAGGGCGATAAGGAGAGAACTAGTGGAGCCGATTTACGATAAGAAAGACGCCGCTAAGCTTGCCGCGCAGGATGCTGCTCTCGCCGCCCCCAAGCTTCCCGTCAAGCACATCCCCACCGTTGATTCCGCCGCCAATGAGCTCATTGCCGCCGCCGCTACCTCTTTCGCTAACCACAACGGCATAGGTTTGTTTCTCTCTCTATTTTTCTGTGCTATTTTTTTTTTAGTTCGATTCTGTTTTTTTTCCAGGATTTGTAATTGATGTCGGTCCATTAAAAGTTGTGATTTTTCGCCTTCTGCTTTCATAGTTGTTTACTGTATCCATCTTTTTATGCATAAATTGGTTTTATTCACATGGTATATAGTAATCCAGTTTGATACTACACAAACACACACAAAATACTCAAAGCATTATTCATTTCACATAGTACTACTATTTGGTGGAATTGAAATTGCCCAATACTTGATTAAAAGATTTGGCTGAATTTTTCATCTCTACACGGTTCGAACGAGCGTACAGAAGCATAAATTTCACAGAATTCTTACAGAAGCAAAAATGTCAAGAAGCTAACTTTTATTAAATTATAATTTTCTAGTTACTTGTTCATATTGATGGTTATGAATGGTATATTAATCTTGAATTATATTGTTGGGTTAGCAGATGTGGAGATGGCTGACGGCAATCAAAGCGGAAAGTCGTTGAAGCCGATCGGCAGGAAGATGAAAAAGAAGCTCAAGATTTCCAAAAAGAAGCATCAAGGCAAGGGCAAGATCAGAAGGAAGAATATATAATTGTACCATCAATCGAAAAAAATAGAACCTTTTTATCGGTTACATTTCTTATTTTTGTCTACTTGTAGTCGTACGGTGACCTAGACACCTAGTTTATTTGTTTACGAAACTTGGATCTTTTGACATTGGTTCGATAGTGGAGATGTATGAATTTCTTTTCAACACTAGTTTGAATTTGAGATGATGTATCAAACCTATGAATCTATCTTTTTTTTTTATTTGAATCTGGAACGAGTACACGAATAGACTAAAGACTCCACCCGGAATTCGAATAAAGAATACCGGAATGTTTGGTTGTGATTTTAGCTACAATTTTGTATTGTGCAATATTGAAAGGGCAAGAAAGTGATTTAGTAGCAACACACTTCTTGATTGTAGTATATATATTCCTGCACTAATAATCATACAAGCCAAACCTAATATTAGGACACTTACAGAGAATCATAAGCACAAAGACAACATCAAACACATGCAAGGGATTCAATGTGATCAAAAGCCAGTGGTATCCGATGATTAACCGTAGCAACCCCACCAACATCACAGATCTCTTCATAAGTGTTGCAATCAAGATTGAATCGTACCGTGGTACAAGGAACCCGCAAAATCAAGAACGAACCTTTGTCATCGTTCCTAACAAGAGACAATACCGTGAAACTATAGTGAATCCTGTTACTCAACGGAACCAAATAAGACATGTCAGCAAAAGCAGCAGCGACAGCTGTCAGATCAGCATGGTACACAACAAACCATCCCGAATAATCCACCTTCATCTCGTAAACATCAAACGCAGCATAACTTTGATGATTGCCAATAATATGCAAATGACCACAAGACTCGCCGAAATAACTGATATACCTCCCCTCTCTATGTTGGCGATACCTCACATCATCACCAAGTGTGGCAGAAGCAGGTAATCCCACCTTTCCGAACTTCTCTTTCTCAACGTCGAAATACAGAATCTCTTTCGTTTTGTAGCTGATCCAGTGAATCGAGCCATTCCAGTACACCCCGTGATTGAAATCTGCGGTGGCGGTGAAGGGTTCACCGGAGACTCTCCACGCACCCGAAACAGAGGAGTATATCTCGATCTGACAAAGCTCACGAGCAAACTCCGAGCCTCTAACACAGACAACTTTGTAGAGGGGAGACTCGGCAGGATCGTAAGCCAAGTTCAATCCATGCACGATTCTTGGAACTCCGTGCAGAACACCTGGCCTAGGAAGGTTTATGAAACAGCTTGTAGTAGGGTTATATACGTAACACATACGTATAGGAGATCTACTGTACCTGATATCGAAATTCGCGTTGCTGCAGCAGAGAAGCAATCCATTACAGGAATGATGAATCCAGAATGGATAAGGGTTTCCTGGAAAACTGAGTTTCTTGAATGGGGGATTGGTTGGATTTTTTGTGTCTACGTGGATGTAGTCGTAGTGGGAAGATTGGGGCCTAAGATAAATTAATCCGACGGCGGGATTAGGGGCGGGATAGCGGAGAAGGGAAAAACGGCGGCTGGTGATTAGAAATTTCCAGTGTTTGGAAACTAGCTTGAAACGCATGAGTGATTTTACAGGTAAGTGTAACAAGATTTGGATCAATAGATCATCTATGGAACCTACAACATCTGCCGATCGTGCTATATTGGTCGGATCATCCATTTTTTTTATGCAAGTGTCGTTGCACTGTAAGCGATGGAATATTCCGGCGGAAAGTAGAGACGGTGATTAGTGCAAGATTTCTGTGTTCAGTGTTCAGGTCTCAGGGGCATTTTATCGAACACATGGACGGAGCTTTCAATGCTTGAACAGTTGCAGGAATGAAATTATAGAGTGATAGAGGAGACCAAAGACTTTGAAAAGCAGGTCTCCTTATGCCTTGTGCCTCGTTTGGGTGGAGATATGAGCACAAATAATATTATATTATCAGGCCTTATCTTTCAGATCCAATGACAAAAAATAATATTATATTATCACGCCTTATCTTTTAAGATCAAATGATACAGCTGAATTTCATTAGATTGTTTAATTTTATCTTGACAGGCAAACGAGGCCTTAAAATACATAATCAAATTGAAATACGGATACAGGAATTAACGTAGAATATGGATCTTTGGTCTTTGAGATTGGTAGATAGGGTTCAAGTTCATATATTCTGAATCAAAAGCAAAATAATATTTTTACACATACTCAAAAATAAATTATTATAAATTAAAAAAAGCTCATAATTTTTTTTCAAAAGCTTTCTAGAAGCACCTAACTAGGTCGAATCTACTCGTCAAATTTGATGTCGGTAATAGATTACTCGAATTGCTCAGAAAACATGCAACTACAAACAAATTTTCGAGAGCTAGAACAAATAAGCTGTGATGCATTACAAGAACGTTGAGTCCAAAACTCGATTTTTGGAAGATTATGGCTCATTACATCTATGTTTAAAGATCAGCAGCAAGATTGAAACTACATTTTCAGACCACACCTCCCAACAGATATATATTAAAAAAAACTTAAAGCCAATATGTGTCGTCGACATCAGAATAAGTGAAGTCGTAAAAGCATTTCCAGTATTCACTTCCTGGAATTTACATTATTTAGATCCACTTGTATTTGTTTGGCAAAAAGACGTGAATCCTCCAATGCTAAATTGCAATCTGTGGTGTAGTTTTGCTAAAATCATTGACCAATCCCGGCGTCTGCACTACTTTCTCGTTGTTTCGGAATCTGTTTCCTCCAATGGTGTGAACATGAAGTTGCCCGATAATATGGCCTCTTTATCTACACGGAAGCAAAAAAAATAAAAAATTACTTTCACTTTAATAAGAGAAGTACATTTTGCCTCGCACGAGCTATGTTAGCTCGGTTGTTAGCTTATCCTAAATGTTATCTATATGTCTTTCATTAAAGTCGAGTGATGTTTTCCTTTCTCGACCGCAAAGGAAACTGAAGCATGATTCGAGCAAGATTATTGTGCTTATAACATAGATTCATATAATAATTATAATTAAAAAAAATAAAATTATCCACACCTGTTAACGAGAGACAACTTGCTTCACGACGAATATACCTCGCCATTGCCTAAAAATAGAAAAGTTAAAATATAAGTAAGTTTTCTGTATCATTAACCTTCAACCTATAGCAAATGATATATCTCTGATGACTAAGAGTTAAATCCGTGGACTTCACATCCATTAGTTTTAAGGCTCTGTCTGGTTCCAAGAAAACGAGCAAAACTAAAACAAAATGAGGAAAAATCCAATTTTCCGATTGTTTGGTTGCATGAAGCACATTCAGAAACTTTTTCACAACTATACAAGTAAATAAGTTATTAAGCCGTGGCGTAGCAGAATAAGATACAGGAACTTGCCTGGACAGGAAGTAAGGCACTTTCGGTTGGTTTCGATGTACCATCGTCGGAGAACACATTCCTAAAGTACATACAAACAACAACATAAGTTTGGCTTCCGTCATTTCTGCCTAAATAGGCTGCAAAACTACTAAAGACCGAAGAATGATATTATATGTTCATCAAGAGTAACACATGGTAATGCTAAAATCATTCATCGCACCGTAATGTATATAGTGGATTGACTCGATATATCTTAACTTCCTAAGCCTGCTATTCATTATTTCTCTACCAGTTACAAAAACCTCGCCAACCCAACACCTAGCACATTTATTAAAATATTTATACCTCCATATAACAGTTTGCAGGTCCTCCTGTTTCCCGATGGCAGCATCGTAAGCAACAATATTTCCATAAAATATCTTCTCCAATTCTTTCATCCATTTAGTTAGCAGTAAATTCACCTGCATTTTAAAGGAGAATAAAACGAGTAGAGCTGCTTATAAACCACAGTATCGGATAAGTTAAAGCAGCAATATTTGATGTTCCTAACACGTACGGAGGCTTGTAGCATTATCATAATCACTTAGATTATTCAAAAATGTACCAATTTATCTCAACTGTCACACGCGGAAGTATCAAAACTAGAAAGATAAAGTACCAAAAAATCAAGAATGAGAAAATAACCTACCCCAGCCTTAGAAACCCTCAATTCCAGATCATGATTGTACGTCTCGTATAAATACTGCCCCAACTCAACACCTTCCTTTCCCTCTTCCTTTAAACGACGCAGACAAAGCCACATATGTAGTACAAGCAACGAAAATGTCGTTTTAAATGTCTTTTCCAAGCTAAACGCTGCAAGTCAAATGAGGCAAACCTCAGTTTAGAAATTACACAAGTCAAAACACCGAGACAGGAGAACCAGATGCAGAGATCGAAGCACCAAAACAACTGACCTTCATATATAGCAGGTCTATCGATTTGATACGTTACTCTGTGGTAAATGGCATTAGACCAACGAATAAACTGGCTTTGTTTGCTGTAGAATAGCATCAGCTTCAGTATAACCCGTTTCACGCCCGTGTACTGTGGATCGTCAATTCTATTCGGCGAATCAATTGCCAACGCCAACGAACATGGTTTCGACCAGAACATCTTGTTCAGGTTAACCTACACGTATATAGTTCTTTAGGAATCCGATCATGCAAAGTTGTACAACATCATCTCTCACAATAATCAAATTGAATCATTAATTACCCTATTGTTCTGAGATTAAGCTACATAAATCATTTCAATCCCAACCAAAAATTGTCAAACCTAATTTAGAAACTTCCGAAAGTTTTTGAACGAAAAAAACACATATGCATACAAATAAACTCATGACAATTTGTATATATCATTGGAAGAAAAAGTAATAATTTTAGGTTTTCTACACATACCACTGGTTTATTAGCGTCGGAATTAACATCCGGCTCGACGGCAGGAGCCACCGTAGCATAATTCCGCAATGGAAAAACAGACAAATCTCTCCTCAAGAGTTCAGTATTCCTCTGGTAACTGCCAACCCTGCTAATTCGGCTCAAAACTCTGCTCCACCTCGGCAACATTTCTATTGAGTTTCTGCTGAAAAACGGAAAATGGAGGAAAAAAACAAAACCCCAACGAAATGGAATTAATTGAAATATCTGCGAGATTTGAAATTAAGAAGAATTGGTAAAACCCTACTGCCAGTACCCAAAGAGAGAGCAATTTTTCAATGGTTTACACTGCAACGCTGCGATTTGCCACGTTATAGTTCTCAGCTCCTTTAATTTATTTTTCGATCCTTCATATTAAGAGCACCTCCATTTGATCGGGGTGGGGGGTAAGGGGGGGAAGAGGAGGGTGCAAATACCCTCGGGGGCATCCCAACCCTGGCGACGCGCTCAGCGACGCGTGTGTCATCTTCTCTCCATCTTTTTATTCATTTATTTTTTATTTTTTTTAGGGTTAAAAACTTAAATACAATAACACCCTGTACTACGAACTTTGTATCATATACCCCTGTATTATATATAAATACAAAAATCCGCCTCACATAACGTTTTTCCAAAAAATATGACGAAAATACCCATACTCAAGCATATATATATATATATTGCGCCATTTTTTACTATATATTTTACCATTTTCAGTCGATTTTATGTGATAAATTTTGGTATTTATATTTTTTTCTCAAAAACATCTAATTGCTTAGATTTTTTTTTTAATTTTATAAATAAAACCTTTTATTTTTCTCCTATTGAGTTTTTTTTTTTTCTTAAATGTCTTCAGAAAATTTAAAATTAAAATCTAAGTAATTAAATGTTTCCCAAGTAAATTGATCGAAAATGTTAAAAAATATAGTGGAAAATGACTCAAACAAACTCTTATATTTATAGGCTTAACAGGGGTATTTTCATCATATTTTAGAAAAAATATAACAGTAGGAGGCTTTTGTATTTTATGTGTAGTATAGAGGGTATATGAACAAAGTTTATAGTACATGGGTGTTTTTGTATTTAAACTTTTTTTTATAAAACCTATTGGGCCGCCGTGTTGGAACGGTAATTGGTAAACATCTATTTATATAAACTATCAATATAATTAATCTAAATTTCGCAGTTAAATTAATTATTTAGTCCTCGAGTAGCAGCAAAGATTTATTTAATTTAATTTTAATTTTTATTTTTAAATCAAATATTATAACACTATCGGCTTCTCTAAAACCCTAATCCCTTTTCCCTTCCACACAGAAACCCCCCTTTCTCTTCTTTCTGCGCCAATTTCCATACATAGCAGAGATGGGAAGCGATAGCGAGACTGATAAAACAGCGCAGAAAGTGAGGGAGAAGAAGCAGATGTCGGCTCTTGCACCCATCGCCAAACCGCTCGCCGGAAAAAAGCTCTCCAAACGCACCCTCAAGCTTGTTCGTCGAGGTTGTACATTTATTTACACTCTTAACGCTTATAACTATATATATATATATATATATATATATATATATATATATAGATATAGATATATACGTAGATGTGATAATTAAATTCGACATCTTTATGTATTTATGTGGTGCTCTTTTTGGATTTCAGCGGCGGAGCAGAAGTGCTTGAAGAGAGGAGTTAAGGAGGTGGTCAAAAGTATTCGTCGCGGCAATAAAGGGTAATTTTTTTTTCAAGTAGCTAAGGCTATAATGATAAAAGTTGATTTTTTTTTTGTGTTCACCAACTGTATGTCAAAATGTCTAGCTCAACAAAATAATCTATTTTAACTATAATTTTGGCAGCTCGGTTCTGATTAATTTGGAAAGGAAGAAAACTTGATTGATTTTGTAGTGTTTCTTGTGATGATGATTCGAAGTTTGATGACTATCAATTTTACCCTTTTCCGAGAAGGATATAATCTCACTGTATTTTCAAATTTAGTTTTTATCACTCAAAATTCAAATTTTCTGTATTTGTTGGAATTTTGGTGCAGTTTTATTTTATTGTATTAAGTTACTCTAATTCATATTTATTGCAGGATATGTGTTATAGCAGGGAATATATCACCCATAGATGTCATCACTCATGTTCCAATCTTGTGTGAAGAAGCTAACATACCGTATGTCTACGTTACATCAAAGGAAGTAAGTATGCGTTCTTTATTCCCATGTGATGTTTTCCGACTTCAAATTATCTTCACGTTGGCTGTCTCGTGGTGTTTTTATATTCACAAGGAAAAAATCGAGTTCACTTGACTATTGAGGCAAATTCATCTTTGTCAAAAGAATGCTCGTCTTTTTCTTGTTACACCACTTCTTAATTGAAAAATGTGAAATCTAATTTCTCGAGGCCTCGTTCTGGGATTTGGTTAGGTACTTGATAGACAATATAGTCAATGTTTGGGGTTTTGGTTTAGAAAGAGCCCGTATTTTAATCAACCATACGAAGGATATTTAGTCCAAACTCAACCCCACTACACAATTCTACGAAGGATACTTGCTCAATACAAGGATTGCATACTCGTAAATCTCAAACATAAGACAGTTACATATTAATTATTCTGGAAATTGTAATCCTCAATTCCGAGGCCCGTATTGTTAATTATTGTCTTCCTTTTGGAAAAATGGATGTTCGGTTCGAAAGTTAACGTTTCCTGATCTTTCTATTGGTAGAACTTTCCCCTTGTGCTATCTTGCTCCACTAGTAGAAAAGCTGTTTTTGGAAAGAAACTCGAATGTCTGATGCAATGAAACGATAACCAATGGTTATTTTTTTTTCAGGATCTTGCAAATGCAGGGGCCACTAAGCGTCCGACTTGCTGTGTGCTGGTGCTAACAAAGCCGGTCAAGGGTGAACTCGGTCAGGAGGAACAAGAGAAACTGAAGGGAGATTATGACCAGGTTGCTTCAGACTTGTCTGAACTGGCTAACTCCATGTTTTGAGAAAATCAGTCATTGTATCATCAAGGTTGTATTTTATATTAGTTTATGCAAAATTAATTGCAATTATCATCCAGAGTAGTGTTTGGAAACATGGATTTAAGTACTAATTTTTATTGATTTTCTTGTTTAAAACATTGGAAAATGTACATGTGAGATTTGGTATTTTCATTGAATGAGTATTGATAAGGTAAAATAAATGGTCCATGAGATGTTACAACCGGTGAAATGCATCTGTGTGTATCCAGTTGTAGCATCTACAAAACCGTAAATAAACCTAAAATCAACTTATCTGTAATATTTCCAAATGGATATGATAATTCAGAACATCAACAAATTATTTATAGGATATAGAAAATTGTATTATTTAATCAAAATTTACATTTTTTTTGTATATAATTTGAAATATATTAACAAAATACCCCATTTTCTATCCAATCCAAGAAAATAAAACGTCTCCCTCTCTTAACCGCAAAACACGCTTTTATCTGGAAAAGCGGGTTTTGTTGGATGCATTTTGACTGTTGTAAACTATCTGTATTTGAATATTGTAAAAAAGTATGTCATCGATTCTGCTGTTGTTGACTGGAAAAATCCTAAAATTTGAAGTTTTGAACTCTCTCCAACTTTTTTTCACCGCCCCTGTCAATTTTCCACCCTTCCACTTCCGCCGTACACGCTCGGCGGAGATCTCATCAACATACTTGCAGATCCATTCGTTTGTTCAATGTACGGTGTTGTTTGTACTATGCAGAAATTGAGCAGTTTTTCTTCTCATTGAATTCAATTTTTTTCCGGGTGGTGAAATGGAGTTCACAGAGACGTTTAAGCAGACCGGCCCCTGTGCATTCTCGCCTAATGCTAGGTTTTTAGCTGTAGCAGTGGATTATCGCCTCGTTATTCGCGATGTTCTCACACTCAAGGTACATACATTTTTACTTTTACTTTTTCCGTTGTTGCCTTAATTAATTTTGATTTGTAATTGGGGAAACTGGTTGGGCTTCTGGAATTTGGATTTAGGTTTGCTACTGTTGTTGATTACTCGATGTGATTTGAAATTTGACGAGTTTGAGCTTGTATATAGTATATACTGCCTGTTACCTTGAGACATCAATTTTCCTATGCACAAAATGTGATATTCTGGCTTTAAAAAAGGTTCTCCGTGGTGGCATTCTGTTCGTTCTGCTAGATTTCGATAACACGACAGTCGATTGTCGGTTTGTATTTGTTGGGCATTTTTAATTTTATATATGATCTTTCACACTTGCCATCTTAAAATGTTTGAGATAAAATATTGAAATTGTTGCACGTATTTTAAGAGTTGAATAGTTTTCATCAGATCCCGAGAGTGAATAGTGCCTAAATTGGAGTAAATTGGAAACCGCTGACTCTCGAGAACATGACGGAATAGTTAAAACGATAAGGGAAATTCAATGCGGATCATAACATAAGCTGAAAAGGAAGGAAGTTTCTTAAGTGAAAAAATAAGATCGGGATTATCAGAATTCCAATTTATTGGTTTGCTAGGAGTTAGTCCTTCAAAAAGAAGGTTTCGTTTACTCTGTTTTTCAACACCAATTTTAAATTTTGGGGAGAAACGGAGATAGTGGCAATGTTGCTTAAAAGGGTTTTTTTTTGGGGCATTTTGACATCTTGTATTTTTCAGGTTATAGAGTTGAATAAATTTTGATTTGTGTCTAATTTGTCTTACAGGTGGTACAATTGTTCTCATGCTTGGACAAAATAAGTTACATCGAATGGGCCCTCGATTCCGAGTACATACTTTGCGGTCTATTTAAGAAGCCTATGATACAAGCATGGTCACTTGCACACCCAGAATGGACATGTAAAATAGACGAGGGCCCCGCAGGTATTTCATACGCCAGATGGAGCCCCGACAGTCGTCACATACTAACCACTTCCGATTTTCAACTGCGGCTAACTGTTTGGTCACTGTTGAACACCGCGTGCATACACGTGCAATGGCCAAAGCATGGTTCGAAGGGAGTATCGTTTACCAAAGATGGCAAGTTTGCTGCAATTTGCACTAGGCGTGACTGCAAAGACTATGTTAATCTACTGTCTTGTTATACGTGGGAGATTATGGGTGTTTTTGCAGTCGATACATTGGATTTGTCTGATATTCAATGGTCCCCTGACGACAGTGCCATAGTTATATGGGATTCAATTCTCGAATATAAGGTACTAGTTAATACGGGATTCAATTCTTGAATATTTTAGCTACGGTAATAACAAAAATTCTGTGTCATGTGGTTGGGTTTTAGGTTCTGATATACTCTCCCGATGGGCGGTGTTTATCGAAGTATCAAGCATATGAAAGCGGATTGGGAGTAAAAAGTGTTTCTTGGTCACCATGTAGTCAGTTCTTAGCTGTGGGAAGCTATGACCAAATGATACGGGTTTTAAATCACTTGACATGGAAAGTCTTTGCAGAATTTACGCATCTTTCTGTCGTTCGCGGTCCTTGTGCTGCTGCTGTTTTCAAGGTACGGAATTCTAATCCTCGATTTAGCATTTTTTAGCTGACGATTAAATAATATTTTCACACTTGTTTTCAATCTTTTTTTACATCCATTCAGGAAGTAGATGAGCCATTGCAACTTGATATGTCGGAGTTATCACTTAGCGATGAATTTGGTCACAGGAATGCAGGTGAGCTTTTGTATTTCTTGATCATTTGTTTTTCTTAAATAAGATAAATAATTTTATTTTTCACACTGAGCTCATAAAATCACACTACATTCTTGAATTTGGGTATCTAGTTTTCTTGATCATTTGATTCTTGATTTAGTAAATTGATCTTTTCTTGACTGAAGCACATCAGCAAATTTCTGTATTAAGTTCTTATAAATTGTCATGAATATTTGTTCTTTTTTTTTTTTTCAGACAATGCTGTCGAGACATACATACAAGTTAGATACGATGTTATGGATATCCCGATTACTCTCCCTTCACAAAAACCTCCAGCAGATAAACCAAACCCCAAACAAGGCATTGGTAAAACAGAGTTCAATCTAACTTCTTTCTATACCCATACAATCCCTTTTGTTCACTAAATGATTATCTAACGAATTTTCGAATGCAGGATTTATGTCATGGAGCAACGACAGCCAATACATATGCACGCGCAACGACAGCATGCCAAGTGTCCTCTGGATATGGGACGTACAGCGTCTAGAGCTGGCATCAATCTTGATCCAAAAAGACCCCATTCGAGCTGCAGTGTGGGACCCAACATTCCCCCGTCTGGTTTTATGCACGGGGAGTAGTAACTTGTACATGTGGACCCCATCGGGTGCTTACTGCATTAACGTACCGTTCCCTCAATTCTCCGTTCTTGATCTGAAATGGAATTCCGACGGGAGCTGCCTTCTTCTCAGAGACAAGGAGCTGTTCTGCTGTGCTGCTTTACCTTTATTGCAAGAATCGAGCGATTACAGCTCCGATGAATGATGTTCTTTTTGGTCTAACTTAACCCCCCGTTAGGTAAGAATCGTCTTTTTTTATTCGTCGAGTATGTAATTTGGAAACGATGTTTGCTTTCACGTTTTTACTAATTTCGAAGTGCCTTGTAGAGCTTGTAATTTTTATTATCAAATAGCTAATATGAAGTTTTTACTAATTTTGCTTGTGAAGTTGAATTTATGCTACATTTTAGTGTGCACAAGTAGAACAAACAAGGGGAAACTACAGATAAATCCCTAATCCAAAACTTGAAACACAGATCAGTCCCTAGGTAGTTTCCCCTAGCATTTCAGTCCCTACTCACACGCCTAACATGCAGATCAGTCCCTAATGTGAATTTTATATATTTTATTATATTTTCTTTTCACTCTCACCCTTTTCTCTCTCCTGCTTTTCTCTCTCTTCATCTTCTCTTTCTTTCTTCTCTCTCTTCATTTCTATCTGCTCTCTTTCTTCTCCCTTTCTCTCCTCTGGTTTCCCCTTTTCTCCGGCGAAAAAATCACTGTAAAACCCACCCACCCCACAATGGCTACAAATGATGTATCTAATGATGTACCCAGTGTGATTCTTGGAAGTTGTCGATACAAAAATCAACTTCACATTATTTCCATAAAAAGTAATTCGACATTAATGGAGATATATGGTGCTATTATCAACAAATGGAATCATATCCATCCAGATGCACTGATCCTCCAATACTTGGCTCCTCGGGAAAGATTGTATGTGACATTGGGCACTGATGAAGATGTGGAGAATATGGTTGCATTGCATCTGATAATGAAGATGAGTGTGGTCGACATTGTCGTGACCTGCAAAGATGAAGCTAATTCGCGTGGAAAGAGGGTTCGCACCGATGGCTGGTAGGTCTCCATCTTTTTCTGTACTGTTGAAATGCATTTCTTTATGGTTGTTAATTATTGTGTGATACATAGTATAAAATATGGCACATAATAGTATCATGCTAATATAAATATGGTATGGACGTATGATACTTACAGTACGTAACCTTGATCTGAGTAGTATGGGTGATAGGTAAATTTGGTACTGCTGGTGGGAAAACATAGTATCATATAATGAGGAAGATAGTACGTTACCTTCACCTGAATAGTATGTGTGATAGGTAAATTTGGTACTGTTAATGGGAACACATAGTATCATATAATGGGGAAGATAGTACGTAACCTTCATCTGAATAGTATGGGTGATAGGTAAACTTGGTACTATTTGTGGGAAAACTTAGTATTATATAATGGATAAGATAGTATGGAACCAGTGCATTGTTATGATATTTTCATGTACATTGTTATTTGGATTCCACTCTATTGTAATCCATTTTTAAATTTTTTTTGAAACCAAAAGCGGCGATCAATGGATGGAAATCGAGGGTAATCCGCTTGGAAATTCAATTGATGCATGGAGACATTGCATCCGTGGGGAGAATCAGTTTTTTAAAGATCCTGATGATTTTAGGCATATGCTGAAAAACTATTCTATTGCTAATAATCGATCATTTAAGTACATGAAAAATGATCAACAAAAGATCATAGCAGTATGCATTCACGAAAACTGCAAATGGAGGGTTTATGCATCATTGTACAAGTCAGATAAGTTATTTAGCATTCGCAAGTGCAATCTTGAGCACACTTGTGGTGATGCTACTCTTCGTACAAGGGGTCATCCTAAAGCCGATGCTACATGGATTGCCCAAATTATGAAACGAAAATTGAGAACGCAACCAGCTTACACACCATGTGGTATGTTAGAAGATATCCGAGACGATTATGGTCTGGAGCTTCAGTACTACACAGCATGGAGAGGTAAAGAAAAGCCAATGCGTGATATCCATGGTGATGAGACGACATGTTATGATAAACTGAGACGCTATTGTCGTGCATTAAAAATGCATAACCCTGGTAGCATGGCAGAGTATGAGATTGAACCTGCTACTCAAAAGTTTATTCGAATATTTATTAGTTTTGGGAGTTCTATTTCCGGCTTTCATCGGTGTAGGCCGATGATATGTTTGGATGGGACTCACATTAAAAATAAGTACAAATGATGCTTGCTTTCTGCTGTGTGCAAGGATCCAAATGATTCCTTGTATACATTGGCATACGCAGTTGTTGATGCTGAGAATGATAAAAACTGGGAGTGGTTTTGCATTAAATTGAAACAAATTCTAGATCTTCACAATGACAATAGATCTTTTACCATTTTCTCTGATCGTCATTCGGGGCTTCTTAAAGCCGTCCCGATGGTATTTCCTAGTAGCCACCATGCATATTGTTTGCGACACTTGGTGGATAACTTTAGAACTCAGGTATTTTGATTCTCTTTAATATGCAAATTGGAACGTACCATTTGTCACCTCATGTCATACTTTTGTATAACATGTTTCATACTTTTGTATAACATGTTTCATACATTTGTGTAACATGTGTCATACTTTTGTATAACACATTTCATACATTTGTATAGCATGTTTCATACATTTGTATAGCATGTTTCATACATTTGTATAACATGTTTCAAAATAATATAGGTCCTGAGGAAGTACCCATTGCACAACAAGTCATATTGGGCGAGTGTTTTACATAATGCTGCATATGCTCCTACTCGGCAGGAGTTCGATGCAACTATTTCTCGTATAGTGCAATCTATGCCTCTCGCGGCATCATTTATTTCGAATTCTGATCCAAATCATTGGGCGAATGCCTATTTTTCTGGAGAAAGATGGGGAATCGTGAACAATAATCAGGCAGAAAATTGGAATGGTTGGGTTAAAGATGCCCGATCTTTGCCTGTTCCATCCATGATTGATCACATACGGATCAAAATAATGGAGATGCTAGTTAAACGACAAGGAAAAAGTTTGGCAATGACTGGCATATTGTGCAAGAAAATTCTAAAGAGATTAACAATCAATCATATGGCCTCTCGTTCCTTAAAATATTGTAGATCAAGTAGTACCGCTTTTGAGGTATATGATGAGGACAAGTCGTATAAGGTTGACTTGCAGCAGAAGACTTGTTCTTGTAAAGCATGGCAATTAGAGAAACTTCCATGCAAACATGCATGTGCATGTTTGGAGTCAAAAGGATACTCAGTATATGAGTTTGTGGATCCATGCTTTCATATTTATACGTACAAACAGGTATATCAATTCACGATTAACCCAATTCCCTCGTTTGATGAGGACTTTGACTTGTACGATGCGTGTAATGCTCCGCCCGATGTCTTTGTTAATGCACCTGATTCGAGAACTCGACCGGGACGTAGAAAGACAAAAAGAATTCCTTCACAAGTGCAAACTCGTAAACTGAATTGTACTCGGTGTGGGAAGCCTGGACACAATCGTCGTACAATCTGACTAGCAATTTTTTTTAATGTAAATACTGTCTGCATTTGTGTTAATTAAACTAACTAGTCTTGTTTCTAATGTAAATTTTATGTAAATTTTATGTTTTTCATCAGGGAGGACAAGATGGAGGAGAGCTTACATGATTGCCCATTCAAGTGATTGAAGTGAATGAAAACTGGCTGTTTGTACTTTATTATTATGTGATTTGCACTATGTTGTTTTGAACTTTGTACTATGTTTCAATTTACACTATGTTTTTGCTATTTGTAGTTTGTACTATGTATTAGGTACTCTGTTCATTGATGGTTTATCATTTTCAGTCTAATGGTACTATTTTTATTTACACATGGTATTGGATATGAGATAGGATGGTATGCCTATTGTTGGTTGATGGTTTATCATTTTCAGTCTAATAGTACTATTTTTATTTACACATGGTATTAGATATGCGATATGATGGTATGCTTGTTGCTGCTTGATGGTTTATCATTTTCAGTATAAAGGTACTGATTTGATTTACGCATGGTATTATCTATGAGATAGGATGGTATGACTTACTCAATTTATGACCGTTACAATATAGCCGTTGCTTATAATATAGCCGTTGCTTATTGTCAGAACTAGTCAAGTCATAATATGACCATAAATGACACATAGGCTCATTTGTTTCTAATTCATGGCTTCTTCTAGTAGCACCACTCAAATGAGTGGGTTAAAATACAAAAAAGGGAAATGCAAGCGTCTTGATTGTGGGAAGAAAACAATAATCATGGTTTCAGAAACTATTTCGAATCCCGGAAGGTTATTTTACTGTTGCCCACACCATGGCTACTCCCATTGGTGTGAACCATTTGAAGTTGGGCAAACTTTTTCCAACTCAAATCGTGAAGAAAATGAAGCTACAAGTGCGTCGATGAACCAAGTCCATCAAGAAAGTGAAGTGAAGAATTGCAATTCTGAAGGTGGAGTAGTTCATAGTTTGATAGTGTTGAATCTAGTAATATTTGCAGTCTACATGCTATGTAAAACCTATGTACTGTTGTTTAATTAGTGAACATAAGAGTACAATGTATAAGCTGGTAAAGTTCGGGTTCTTCAGCATTTATAGTACGCTTTGTTAACCAATTAAGTATAATGTATAAGCTGGTAAAGTACAAGTGAGTCGTCACGATAGTACGATTTGTTCACTGATAAAGTATATGTTTGCCATTCATATAGTATTTTTACACCCTATATATTATTGTCGGGCCAATGCATCCATATGATCGCATTTTAAGACACAACTCTTCAGTTTTAGACTATTAAGAATGAATGGAGACAATGTGGGAGTAGATCAACATCGACTATGGTAAGAATTGAGGAAAGTATTAGTTTTACACTTGAGCATTGTAGACTTGTATGAATATATTGTATAGTATATGAGTATCATGTATGAAATTCAACATATTTATGGGATCTTGTATTCAAACGCAACAATAATGCTCACCTACCTTAAAATAATCATCTAAAACATAATTTATGCATCTCCCGTACTTATTGATCATTAAAACGTCGATGAAATTGGTACAATTCAATTCATCAAAAAATATAGTACGCTTTGTTCACCAATTAAGTATAATGTTTAAGCCGTTAAAGTACAAGTGAGTCGTCACTATAGTACGATTTGTTCACTGATAAAGTATATGTTTGCCATTCATATAGTATTTTTACACTCTATATATTATTGTCGGGCCAATGCGTCCATATGATCGCATTTTAAGACACAACTCTTCAGTTTTAGACTATTAAGAATGAATGGAGACAATGTGGGAGTAGATCAACATCGACTATGGTAAGAATTGAGGAAAGTATTAGTTTTACACTTGAGCATTGTAGACTTGTATGAATATATTGTATAGTATATGAGTATCATGTATGAAATTCAACATATTTATGGGATCTTGTATTCCAAACGCAACACTAATGATCACCTACCTTAAAATAATCATCTAAAACATAATTTATGCATCTCCCGTACTTATTGATCATTAAAACGTCGATGAAATTGGTACAATTCAATTCATCAAAAAATATAGTACGCTTTGTTCACCAATTAAGTATAATGTTTAAGCCGTTAAAGTACAAGTGAGTCGTCACTATAGTACGATTTGTTCACTGATAAAGTATATGTTTGCCATTCATATAGTATTTTTACACTCTATATATTATTGTCGGGCCAATGCATCCATATGATTGCATTTTAAGACACAACTCTTCAGTTTAAGACTATTAAGAATGAATGGAGACAATGTATGACTATATTGTATAGTATATGTGTATCATGTATGAAATTCAACATATTTATGGGATCTTGTATTCCAAACGCAACAATAATGCTCACCTACCTTAAAATAATCATCTAAAACAATAATGGAGACAATGTGGGAGTCAATCAACATCGATTATGGTAAGTTTTTTGTGAATACACATGTGAAGTACGCTTTGTTCATCAAATAAGTACAAGTCTATTGTTGACAAGGTATATTCGAATGGACTAGACAGTATTTGTTGCTCATTTTTATGGTACGCTTATATTCTTTATACAAACTAATTAATCGCAAAATAAAGTACCATGTGTTCAAAAGGCAAGTACATTTCATCGAAACATATAGTACAATGTATACAATGAAAAAGTACGAGTAGAGCTAATCAATAGTATTATTAGCTCTACAACAAAAGGACAGATTGTTTATGGCATAAAAACACATTCACCTGTTCATTAATTAATTACAAAAAAGACAAGAACCCCAAAACACTTCCACTCCCAGTTTTTTCACAATAACGCCAGATCTATTTCATATTTAGCTTCCACTTCTACTCCCCGATGCCTCAGAAAGATAGCTGCTAGTTTTGGGCGAAGTATTTTGATATCGCAAGTTTTTGCCTTAAACCAAATATCTTCACTGTTTATAGCATGACAATATGCCCACATGCAGACAAACAAGCCGCAATCAAGGTTCCCATCCTGCTGCCTGCATCCATGAATGCATTTAGCTTCCGATTGTATCTCCAACCCAGACCTTCTTTCAACCACCTTGCTGTAAAACGAGGCCTACGAAAATAAAATATTATATTAGTCTACAACAATTCGCAAGAATAAAGAATAACTAATTACAAGAATATGGGCTTACGACATAATCCGCAATTCCTGGGAAATTCGGAGAATAGTCTATGGAGTTCCAATGGTAAATACATTTATCTATTGGGTTCAGAACAAGCAGGAACCAGTGTTCACTGGAATTGATAGGTATCATGACAAATGTTTTACTGAAGATATTTGCTGTGTTTAGCTTGTCAAAAGCCATCGTTCCAAAAATAGTAAAATCATTGAGAAGACGATCAAACATGGCATCGCTCATTCGTTCTACGTCCACCCGAGGTCGCGACATTAACTCTTGCTACGAAACATAATAGAGAATATTAGATAAACATTGTAATGTATGCATAATTATTTGTTAAACCACTATATACCTGGGCAGGGGAGTCAAGGTAATCAATCTCATGTCCATGTTGGTTCATGATAGATTCGGAACATAATAGATTCAAGTACAAATCTATGTGTTCTGCACTCAGCATTTCATCAAATAAAAGTTCGCACATATGCCTTCCCGTCAACTGATGTGGGCCTCTCTCCACAATAGTTTCACTACAGTAAGACATAACCACGTACTATTGGATAAGTAAACTTGTACTATGTACAAAGTTACTACATACTATAACATGCAGTAAACATGTACTATTGGATAAGTAAACTTATACTATGTACAAAGTTACTACATACTATAACATGCAGTCAACATGTACCATTGTATAAGTAAACTTATACTATGTACAAAGTTACTACATACTATAACATGCAGTCAACATGTACTATGCATTCACTTGACATATACCATTAAAGACATTAACATGTACTATCAAGGTGGTTGTGCTCTTACCCTAAATCAACACTTTCCAAGAACTGATCCAACAATATCCTATCTTCTTCGGATATTTGGTCACGACGTACGTAGTCCTTTCTTCCCCGGTAATAATCGGCATTCTATATAACGAATAAATCACACCAATTATGACAAAAAATAATAATAATGTAATACTAATATTAGATAAAAATACCTTGATCCCAGGGACTGAAACCGAAACCTTGGACACAGGAACTTGTTTACGACCACGTCCTCGTCCTCGTCCTCGCACGCGTGGAACTTTGGCCTTTGACTTTCGTCTCCTTGATTTCTCTCTCTTTCTTCACTTCGTTCTCCTTCACCTTCCATCCCCTCTACTTCATTTTTTTCTCCTTCTTTTTCCCTTTCCTCTATCTCTATCTCTTTCTCTATCTCTATCTCTGCCTCTATCTCTATCTCTTTCTCTGTCTCCGTCTCTCTCTCTTTTTCTGTCTCTCTCTCATTCACTCTCTCTGTCTCTTTCTCTTTCTCCTTCTCTTTCTCCTTCTCTTTCTCCTGCTCTTTCTCTATCTCTATCTCTTTCTCTTTCTCTATCTCCTTTTCTTTCTTTCTCTTACTCTGCATTTTTTTTTCTTTATTTTTTTCTTCTATTACATTCCCCCTCTTCCTTTTTAAGTTATTCTTCTTATGCTGTAACTAAAAAAAACAATAGTACGAAACATGTTATACAATAGTATTATATTAGTTGACATATAGTATGTTCCAATGGGAATGGAAGTATGAATTTTAGGGTTTATTGTTTTAATGACTTACAGGTGTTGCTTCCACGTCTCCAATCTCATCTTCACTACTCTCAGAACTTATTTCCACAAATCTGTCAGCACTAATTCCAACAACTGGACCAGAAATTACTTCCAAAACCGGAGAAAGCAACGCTTTCTCTTTCGGGTACACAGAAAATGGTATAACCTAATAAACGTAAAAAATTTGTTAGCAAATACCTAATACATTATATATTTTGTAACTCAAAGTGTTACCTGCACTTGTTTTATCTGATCAAAAAGCAACCTAGCTGCTTCTTCATCGATTGGGATTTTGCTGTCTTGCCACCGGAAGAACCGGGGAAATTTGTAAACACTGGTGCTAACCCCTAGTGACGTGATCCTTTCATGCACCCATGCCTGCGTATTTTGGAATCAATATTAATTGGTATATTCAATATAACATAATATATATTCACTATTAGATATCACTTACCAATAAGCCGATAGTGCATCCATCAAAATACTTCAACCCCCCCTTCAGATACCCCTCCATATTCTCAACAAGAATATCATACACCAACTTTCCCCATGCAAAAGACCCTAAAACCTCCAAATCTTCTACATGCGGATAAACCCACCTTTCTAACGTTTTGTTCCCCTTTGGCAGTAGAATAGTATTAAACAAATAAATAGTGTACAATCTGCTGAAATCTTCAACAGATTGTTGATCGGTCATAACTGCATAGGCCTCCAGTTTATAACCAATATATGGCCTCGTCATTAAAGATAACTTACCATAAAAAATACGTGTGATGAAATCAGTGTCTCTGCCATCCATATTCACATCCACCGGTACGCCTTCGTACTGCAACCCTAATACGATAGATAATTGCTGCGGAGTGAATTCCAAGCGTATAGTATTTCCCCCAAACCAGAAGGCCCGATCTTCTGGATTGTACGCTTGCATGAGAGACACAACCCTATGGAAGCTGTGGTTTATTTTAGGCATGTCCATGTAGTGATAGAAGGGATTTTTCTTCAGTACTTCATGATGTTGTTTCTTCATCACTTTTTTCACACCTTCCATAGTTAGGTGAAAAGCGATCGGTGAGCACCTGCAGCCTATTGATAGCTTGCTGCAATCTTCTTTTACAACAATTCCTGCAATTACATACACATAAAACAAATACAATTATTACAAATACAACGTACTATAAAGTTCCACATGTCAATACCATCCGAAATCACTAGTAATACCATTCAAAGGCACTGGTAATACTATTATGGCATATGACTTATACTACAGGACCATCAAACATTATACTTCTAGTACCACAAGTCAATACCATCCGAAGTCACAAGTAATACCATTCAAAGGCACTAGTAATACTATTATGGCATATGACTTATACTACAGGACCATCAACATTATACTTCTAGTACCACATGTCAATACCATCCGAAGTCACTAGTAATACCATTCAAAGTCACTGGTAATACTATTGTGGCATATGACACATGCTACAGAACCATCAAAGATTATACCATCTAAATGCACTATTAATACCATTACTGCGCATGACACATACTATAGAACCAGTACGAAAAATACAATAAGCCTCTTTCCCATATCCTATATGAAACCCTTGTTAGGACTCAAAATGCTTTGGGGACATGCTAATGTCACCGAAGAATAATACCCATGAGAAAACTGTTACAAAATCATGAAATTCGACAACAAATAAATGATCTTTGCAAACCCAAACAACAGAACAACAAATATTGGAACCGATTTAATGATTAGGGCAAACACCGAATAAAGTCGAGGCATAATACCCATGAGTGGATATGTTCAAAATCATGCAATTCTATAACAAATAAACCTTTTTGCCCTGCTTAAGCAACACCCAAATGGGTCTGTTTCCAAGAAAATGAAAAAAAAATAAAAAATCAAACCTTGTTGTTTACCCTGCTTCACCATTGTTTATAAATGGGTTTGTTTATACTATTTTTCTGCGGTTTGTTGATTCTTCGTGCTTCGTAATTTCTTCCTTCTTTGTTGTTTCTCTGTTGCGTTTCTTCTTCGTTTCTTCTTCGTCTGAAAATGGGTATTACTGAACGGTGGTTTTTTCTGCGCCTTTTTAGCTTCTTTTTTGTTGTTTGATTTTTGAAATGTAACGGGCAAAGAGCGTGTAATACAAACGGCGCGTTGGAAGTTGAAAAGAAGTTATGTAAAATTAGTATAAAGTAAAGGGTATTTTCGTATTTGCACATTTTATTAGGGACTTATCTGCATGTTAGGCGCGTGAGTAGGGACTGAAATGCTAGGGGAAACTACCTAGGGACTGATCTGTGTTTCAAGTTTTGGATTAGGGATTTATCTGTAGTTTCCCCAACAAACAATGCATGTGAAAGTTTATAGCAAAATGTCACTAATAAAAGCTGCTACTCTTTCTACACATGTTATGTTATAAGTTATGTAATGAAATGTTTCATTTTTGATTATTTGTTGTGTCTCATGTTCTTAGGTGGTGTTTGCAAATGATTATTTAAAAGCATAAGTTAGTGATTGTGATTTAAGTTAGTTTTAAGTGCTTATTTCTAAAAGTTGGGGGTGTTTGCAAATATTTCGGAAAATGAACTAAAATTGAAAAAGCAGGGTTAGGGGTGCTTTTAAGAAAATAGCTTAAAGCAGATTATTTTAAGAGAAGCAAAAGCAAAAGTTGATTTTGCAAACACATAAAAACAGATTATGAGCAAAAAAAACTGCATAATCACTTTCAAAAAGCATTTGCAAACACCACATTATCCGTACTCTATTCGAACTTATCCAGGCCACGTCAGCAACTTTATTATTGGGGTTTAATATATATATATATATTTTTATTAGAACAAATTTGTTATTTAATTAGAAAATAAATAAATTGCAAGCTAAAAGAAAAAGGGTAAAAAGGGGCTGTGGTCGACGTAAGTCTGATTATGAAATAAGCTCTTGATTGGAATCGGGCTGTGGTCGACATACAGCTTATAAGCATAGCCAAACACACTCTTAATTCTAAAAACGAACATTTCGTAATATTATTGCATAACAATATACTAGTCTATCTACTAAAATCCAAATAAAATAAAAGGTTAGCATTTACTATAAAGACAATAAAATGGCCCCAAATAAATAAAAATATATTACCTACTACAACAATGCCCCACCGACTAATCAATTGGATGTGACTAGCCATATAAAATAATATAAATATAATAATCTCAAATTGAGATTACAATAATCTTCAATAGATTCATTGAATAATTATCATTTATTTTTTCCATTTAACGTTTAATACCAAATTAATTATATGGCCCTTTGCTTAATTATTATTTGATTAAGCTTAAAGTTAAATTGATGTTATATTTTTATTCATTAAGTAATTGTTGACTGTAGTTAACATAACACGTATCAGTAATGGGAGAGGGCTGAGAATAAAATATCCCGGCCCGGCTACCGACCTCGGGCCCATTTTATGCATTATGGAGTTATTCGAAATGGCCCATCGTCTTCTCTGCGGTTCCTTCTCTACGGTTCTGCCCACTGCAGGCACACCACTAAACTAACTAAGAAAAATAGAGAGGCAATTTTGATTTTTTTATTTTTATTTTTTTTTGAATGTATTTGTGTATACATTTAATATTGGATAAATGTTCAAGTTGAGTAAATTAATTGATTTTTAATAAATTTTATTTCCCATTAACTAATAATTGAATATATGAAGTAACGTATACATAATATGATAATAATACTCCGAGCAAAAAAATTGGGTATAACTGTACGAAACCGTAAAAGCAACGAATTGCAGTTCCAACTTCCACCGCCACGCCACGCCACGCCACGTCACGTCTTCACACGCTTATTCAAGTTCTTTCACCATCAGACTCTCTCACCCATCTTCCATCCATACACCCACTTCGATTCAAGCTTTTTCACCTTCGTTGCGACTTTTTATTTATTTGATTATTCTCAATTTTGATTTTTGATTTTATTCTTTTGATTGAATGCGAAATCTGTTGAATTGAGGGGAAACCGAAGGAAATATGGAAACGGAAATGGAAACGGTGGTTGCCGAAAACGGCGGCGTTTCGTCGACGGAAACGGGGAACGGTGGTGAGGATGTGTGCAGCTCTAGAGATTCCGATGCTTCTTCCGCCGATCATCTTGTTGTTATGGTCCACGGGATCCTTGGAAGGTAAATTTGCTTTGCGCTTGTGCTTATTATCAGTATGTTTTAGCGTTTGTGCTTTTGCATAATTCAATTAATTGTGGGTATGAGATTGGAACTCTATGCTGCCGGAATCGTCGAATTTTGTTTTTGGCTAATTTGTTCTGAGTATTTTGATTCTATTTTTGGATTTAATTATGAGGATAATAGTTAATTTACTGTCGGTGGCCCAATTTTGAGCTTCCTTTTTGCCATTTGGATTGTTTGTTGTGAATGATGGAAATGATGGAAAAAGGTATCTTAGAATTTTAATATTGATTCTGCTCAATGATTCTGTTGTTGCAGTGCATCGAATTGGAAATTTGCCGCCGAGGAATTTGTCCGGAAGATTCCGGATAAAGTTTTTGTTCACTGTAAGTTTTGTGCATTCTGTACTTAGTGTCTACTGCTTGTTGTCGTCAATGTTTATGTACCTCTCGATTCAACTGATATACTTCTAGAAGCTTCGTTTTATCAAATATAAAGCTTTGCACATTACAAAGTTATACCCAGTCATGCCAATTGCCAGGTGGTTTTTGACCCTCACGTTTGGTGGCATTTAATTGAAATTAGTTATTCCAACTGATGATTCAATGATGTTGATGTTTTTAAGGTGTTTGTTCTTGATCATCACTGAAATTGTAATCTGCATCACCTTAGTTTTTGCTGATTGAGAAAAAAGGATGCCACTGGAGGATTTACCTCAGAATGTTTCTTATTCTTATCTCTACTTACGGGTCCAAATGTTTCGAAAGTATTGGTTTTGGTTTCTCTCTTGCTCTTGCTTTGGCCCGATCTTGATTATTTTATAGTTTTTAGTTCATAGTTAATATTGAGCTACTTAAGAAAATCTTTGTGCAGGGATTTGCACAAACTCGTAAAGCCCTTTGACTTTTCAACTCCAGTTCTCTGAGATTATGATACAAATTGCCTGTGTTTGTCATTGATGAACAAGTTACATTTTCACTAATTTAGATGAACACACTGTTACAATAGATCTCAAAGAAATATGGTATTTGCTGAAGGAAACACCTTCTCTGTATTTAGCTTTCCAGGAAGGCTATATATATTATCTTGAATTTCTTTATCTGTTTCTATTGCTTTGCTACATTATAGGTGCTCTTTTTTTGCCCGTTTACAATAGTTTTTTAATCTTTAGGTAGTGAGCGAAATGCGGCAGGACTGACATTGGATGGCGTGGATGTCATGGGTGATCGACTTGCTAAGGAGGTTGATAGTTTTTTTTTTTTTTTTTTTGCAGCATAATCTGGTTCTCACTTGGGAGCTCAATTTCAGGTACTTGAAGTAATCAAAAGGAAGCCTTCTCTGAGGAAAATATCTTTTGTTGCCCATTCCGTAGGAGGGCTCGTCACAAGATATTGCATCGGAAAATTATATAGACCTCCACAAAAAGGAAGTGGAGAACAAGTATCGAGTGCTGTTGAAGAGTCTAAGGGTACAATAGCCGATCTCGAACCTGTTAACTTCATCACTGTTGCCACTCCACATCTTGGTTCCAGGGGTAAAAAGCAGGTAGTTGAAAAAGCCTTGAAGTACAGGAATAATCACTTTGAAAAATTGTTTATGATATTTAATCTTTTAGTGATTTTGGGTGTATATTAAATATTATTTGATTTATACACATCTGTCAGGTACCGTTTCTTTTTGGGGTAACTGCTATTGAAACCCTCGCTGGTCATGTAATTCACTGGATATTTAGGAGAACTGGGCGACATCTTTTTCTTACAGATAATGACGAAGGAAAGCCTCCATTGCTAAAGCGCATGGTGGAAGATGGTGAAGAATGCTGTTTTCTGTACGCTTTCTTTTCTTCTCTGGCGAGCTTTAGATACAGAGTATGTATAAATATATAACATCCGGGCGTATTAAAGTATTTGCAACTCATCTGTGCAGGTCTGCTTTACGATCTTTTGAACGCAGGGTGGCATATTCAAATGTTGGCTATGACCGTATCCACTATTTATGACCTTTTTTTTTTAATCGCTAATAGGCCTGTTTTATTTATATTATGATTATTTCGTATTCCCTAACATATTATTGCATAGATATTGTGGGGTGGAGAACATCATCAATTAGACGCAATAGTGAACTGCCCAAGGTAAATATCTTATCTTCACCAAAGCCATTGTGATTATTTTTCCTTACAAATGTTTTTTTTCCTTTTCTTTTGCATTTTGTATGAATTGATTTTTTTGACAGTGGGAAGATTCTGTTGACGAAAAATATCCACACGTTGTATACGAAGAGCGGTGCAAGGCGTATGACATGGAGCAATTGGAACCTACTACAGAAAATGATGGTTTAGACGAGATCGAAGGTTTGTGACTTTATTTTCTTCCTGTAAAGTCTTTTCTAAAATAACATATTCTTAAATTACAAAATTGTTTTTTTGTCAATAAAATGTTGGTTTTTCTTGACAGAGGAACTGGTGAACGGCCTCTCTCGTGTGTCGTGGGAGAAAGTGGACATAAGTTTCCACACTAGCAAGTTAAAATTTGCTGCCCACAGCATTATTCAGGTCCAGCTCACACACAATCCTCTCTTCGATTCTCGGATTTAATGTGCTCGAAACTTTTTTAAACTATTAATTTTTTTTTAATTTTTTTTTTACGATGATGCAGGTCAAAGACCATCCAACACATTCAGACGGCATAGACGTTATACAACATATGATCGATAATTTTCTTTTATAAGAGACCGAGACATATACAATATTCTCTCCTTTTCGATTTGGTACTTTGAACAATGGTTATAAATTTCAATTATGCAGGCTTCAGGCTCTTTGCATCTTTGCAAGCCAATTCGCGTAATATTCCGATTATTGCATTTCTATAAGAAAATTCCACTGTAAATCAGTTAATGTATGTCGGTTAATTATAGAAATGTTACATTTGATGGATCAATTTATATTGTTATATTTAATTGATTCTACAAACTTATTGAATATGCTTTTGGACTAGTCTGGAGATTCTTGGTAATTGATAATTGATAATACGGAGATTAAATTTTTGGCATTGCAAGTTCTTCGAATTAACTGTGAATTTTATGGATTTTAATTTTTGAAATTGCTTTTAGCAATTATTTTTAATTAATTAATTAATTATTCGTAATAGCTCTAGAGACATATGGAAGTATATATAAAGAGAGAAAATGCGACTGGTCAACTTTTAAAAAGTTTAAACACACGAATTCCGAGGAAACAGATCGTGTTACGGTTTCGTGCAATTATACTGCATAACGGCATCGCCGCCGTATTCCGAAGTCGCAGAAGCTCGCCGCTGTCGCCGGAACTTAGATCCTCCTCCTCTTCCATAAAATTCCATAGCTCATGGAAATCACTCTCACCTCCGCAGCTCAATCGCTCTCTCTTTCGAGAAGTTCCGTTCCCTCGACTTCTCTTATTTCAAAATTCACCCCAATTTCTTCTCTTAGTTTTACCAATTTCGCCACCACAAAGCAGTTCTCCGTCAGAAGGCGGTTGATTCGGCGGCAAAACTGTTTGATCAAAGTTCAAGCCTCCACCGACGGCGCTATCACTGCGAACCAGGAGCAAAATGACGATTTCATCCTCGAAGACGTTCCGCACCTGACCGATTTCCTCCCTGATTTACCGGTACATTTCAATTTTACTGTTCTCAAGTCTCATCGGATACCTTATGATATGGAATTTTAAAAGTTTTAAATATTTCGTCTGTTTTTGTTTATGTTTCAGGCGTGTCCAAATCCATTGAAGAAAAGCCAAGCTTATGCCATCGTCAAGTAATACAGCATTTCGAGTCCAAAAGAATTATGTATTTTCTATTATAAATTTTCCAGAAGCATCATTTATGCTTTATTGATGAATTATATGCTTTACTGAATGAGGTATATCATTTTTCTGTCCTAGGAGAACATTTGTTAGCCCTGAAGATGTGGTGGCACAGAAGGTAAAGGCATTGTTCATGTGCAAGTTATTCTGTATTATTGAGATTTAGTCAGTTGACAAGGTTTTATTTTGGTTTCAGATTGTTGTGCAGAAGGACAGTCCAAGGGGGAAACATTTTCGGCGTGCAGGGCCTCGCGCAAAGGTACATATATTGCTTAGAATGAACTGTGTGACATAACGGTATTTTTTGTTCTTTTAATTATTGGCAAACATATCAATTGCTCTGCAGAAATACATGTCTTAAGCTTTTGTCCATAAAATGTAGGTGTATTTTCAGCCGGAGGAAGTGCGTGCATGTATCGTGACGTGTGGGGGTTTATGCCCTGGAATAAATACAGTGATACGCGAGATAGTTTGTGGTTTGAAAGATATGTATGGAGTAGGTGAAATCCTTGGTATTCAGGTTAGTTTTGTAACTTGCTCTTTCATTTTCTCTCATGAACTTAATGGTTTCAAAGAAATTATGAATTGATATGTACTTAGTTTTATCGTTAATCGGGGCACAAAGCTCTTATTTCACTACAATGACATTCCTTAAAGTGCCCTGCCCATTGCTGTTGGATAGCATGAACATTAAGTTAGCCTTTGACTAGTATCATGGTTGTTTATGCCATTGGATTATATTTATTGGTGTTGTTCATTATTTTTCTTTTTCGCAAATCATGGCCACCTTGCCTCTTTACTTGTTTTTTTTTTCTTCTGCGTTGTGAATCATCGTGCCTAAGCCACTACAAGCTGCAAGGTTAAGCATTATTGATGCATAATAATGTATTTGAGAAAATTACTTTCTTGAACACGAAGGTTGTTGTTTTTGCACATAAGAATAGAATACGACAGTCACAATAATGAGAATTTTCAGGGAGGATACAGAGGGTTCTATTCGAAAAATACCATCCAGTTGACGCCGAAATCTGTGAATGACATTCATAAGCGTGGTGGAACATTCTTGCAAACTTCAAGAGGAGGTCATGATACCAATAAGATAGTTGACAATATTCAGGACCGAGGAATAAACCAGGTGAATATCATTTTTCCTCAGGCAATATTCTTACTAAACTGAATACTTTGAAGATATTTCTATTGCCAGGTTTACATAATTGGAGGGGATGGTACTCAAAAAGGTGCAGCTGAAATTTATAAGGTGGTTGTTGAGAATTATTTCCGCCTTTTTATGGTTTTTAAAATATGTTTGACATGATGGTTTGAAAATATTTAAGGAAGTGGAAAGGCGGGGGATTAAAGTGGCAGTAGCTGGAATTCCCAAGACAATTGATAATGATATTGCTGTAAGTTTCACCAGTAAGATCTCTCTCCATGTTAGGTGATCTTCATTTTATCTTCAGTTGTAATGATGTTCTATTGTCTTTAATGTGCTTGGATTTATCTTTTCTATTATGGGATTCTGATTGTAATTACTTGATCGAAGAATGGTTAAGAAAGGTTTGATGTATATCTTCAATAAAAAAGGACCTTCCATTAGATGAAGTTCTTTATATATGCATACGGAAGAAGAAAGGACTAGATTATGGGTTAATTTGCTAATGATTAACATAGTTTTGAACCTTTCTATGTCATTTTATTGACCTCAATGTTCAAGACTGCCATATTTGCATGAGAATTCCTAGTTCTTTCGGATGTTAAGGAGTGGTAGATGTATATATATTTTTGCGAGTCCTGACTTTGGTCCAAAAATGGTTATTTAACAGATTAATTTTCTTCAGTTCACAAGATTTATCTTTAGAAGGATTAACGTTTATTATTGTTTGTGGCGATGATTATATAGGTCATAGACAAATCCTTCGGCTTTGATACAGCTGTAGAGGAGGCACAGAGAGCGATAAATGCCGCACATGTCGAAGTAGAGAGCGTAGAAAATGGAGTTGGAATTGTGAAGCTTATGGGCCGATACAGTGGTAAAAAGACCTGTAACATTTTGTGGAAGTAGTTGATGGTTCTTCTTTGAATTGTTAGTTTAATTTGCCATTTTTTTTTTCTGAAGATTGTATTTTCTATGCAGGATTCATTGCTATGCACGCAACATTGGCAAGTCGCGATGTGGTGAGAGACATCAAGTCCCTTAATTTATAGTTTGGTTTCGGTCGTAAAACTTTCTTTATCATTTGTTGTTATGTATATTTAGTATTTTTAGATATTCTAGATCCTTGTAGTTACCTTGTCTATCGATCGGGAATCTTGCTGTAAAATTTGTGTCTGTTTCAAATATGTTACCGCACTTGGGAAGTCTGCTAAGAGGTTCTGGATTGTAACAGGATTGTTGCTTAATACCAGAGTCTCCATTCTATTTAGAAGGTCAAGGTGGACTGTTTGAATTTATTGAAGAGAGGCTCAAAGAAAATTCGCATATTGTGATTGTGTTGGCTGAAGGTGCGGGGCAGGAATATGTTGCTCAGAGTTTGCATGCAGCCGATGAAAAAGATGCATCTGGGAACAAGCTACTTTTGGATGTCGGCCTCTGGCTTACACAAAAGTTTAAGGTACTCTGAAAAATGACATCATCATATATGTCTGCACATCATCTTTCTCTATTGAGCTGAATTTTCAGAAATCTCTTCATCGTTATTGAATTCAGAAACTTGTTTTCTTCCCAGGATCATTTCACCAAAGTCCGGAAGATGGGAATCAATATGAAATATATAGGTATAAAACATCAATGGGTGTTATTCTTCCCTATGTGTTCTCCTTCTCATATAACTTGCAAACTTTTGAAAATTATCGGGTACATTGCAGCTTTTTGGCGGGATGGTTGTTTTCATTATATTTAACTGAGTGAAAAAATTAGACAAAATTCTCCTTTGCCAACTTTATTATAATTGTTTGTAATATTGATAAGATAGCAGCATCAATACCTTAACGAGATCTTGTAAGATAGCAGCAGCATCAAGTGAGATCCAATAGTTTAATTTACACAACTTGTGTTTCATTCTGTAAAATTTTGCAACAAGCTTCTTAATCAGTACGTTTTATCTTGTTATTATCTCATACTATAAGCAGTATTCTAATTGGAATCAGTTGCGGATCCTTTCTGTTCGCCGTTAGAAATCTGCTCGTACAGAGTATGAAAGTAGTAATTTTCTAATATTTTTCTAAATCAAGTTTATGTTCATGGATGCCCCTCAACTTAGTTTTATGGTTGATTAGTATTTATTGTTGTTCTCCAAACTTCTTTTTTCTGATTGGATGCATGCATGCATTGTTTTTGCAGATCCTACATACATGATTCGAGCAGTTCCGAGTAATGCATCGGACAACATCTATTGCACACTTCTTGCTCAAAGTGCTGTTCATGGAGCCATGGCAGGATTTACTGGCTTCACCGTTGGGCCTGTCAATAGCAGACATGCCTATATCCCAATCAGCGTAAGCTCTTCCTTTTCTCCTCTGGCTATATAATTATTGCCTTCATCAAAATCTAATTAAATGTATGTATAGACATTCACAGTTACTTGTGTCGTTTGCATTTTCAGCGAGTAACGGAGGCTCAAAACACAGTGAAATTAACAGACAGGATGTGGGCCCGGCTTCTTGCATCCACGAACCAACCTAGTTTTCTAAATTCCGAGGTTGTGCAGGAAAATAGTTAATAAGACGACCAGCAACAACACGTTTACTTCTATATAAAATTCAACGAATTCATCGGTTCCCCAGCCAACAGAAAAAAGGTATTTGGTTGCATATTGATGCTTTCAATTATTATTAGAAAAAAAGTAGAAAACAAAAGTAGCAGTGCTTTCTATCTGTATCTTCATTAATCTTTAAAAATGCAACTAATTAGTTCTGTAAAGTGTCACTACTTGCAACTAAAGTCCGCAAGTAGTCTTCTATTTGATTTGTTTATTAGCGACATACTTCTTTTTCGAGAGACGACGCAAGTGTGAACTTACATTCCAATATAGATTAATGTATTCACAATTCAACAGGATGTGGTTATACTTTTGTAACATTCAATTTTTAATTGATGCATCATCTATGTCAAATATTGACGTTCGATGCGACCGGCGATCCAATAAGCTGAATTGGATGTCGACGACACTCCATTCGTTCATAATGATTGATCGTTCGTAATTAATTAATGGGCAAATTACGGTCAACCTATGGAGGTAAGGTTAAATTAAAAAAAAAAAAAAACCCATCATATTTGGGTAATTACAATTACCTCTTTCAACTATGTATTTTCTTATGAAAAGTTACTCCTCCAGTTGGTAAGTTTGTAAGACAATACACAATTGATGGGATGATTGTAATTACCAAATATGAGGAATTTTTTCGTAATTTTACATTACCTTAGCAGTGGCCTTAATTTGCCATTAATTAATTAAAATCTTAAATCCGGGCTCTCGTAGATTAATATTAAATTTGATATTTTAATCAAAATTAACTCACTTGTATATCAACTAATTATGCACTACTTACATTATTGTATTTCTAGACAAAACACTCATATTCATGTTCTTGTTTTCTCCATGAAAATGATCCGCATCACAATCACATGAAACAAAGTCATGATGTATGTAACTAATATATATATATATATATATATATATATATATATATATATATATATATATATATATATATATATATATAGAACGTATTAATTATCTGAGGTTTTAAGTCTTATAACACAGTAGTCGACCCTTGACTTTTCTCCGTTCTCCTCCTCTTCCGGCCGGAGCCGACCGGCGGCCCAGATTTACCGGCGTCCATGGGAAAGTTGAGAATGGCTTTGGATCCCCTCATCTTGAAGGCGGCGCAGTCATAAGCCCTAGCTGCATCAACGTCGTTGTCATAAGTACCAAGCCAGACCCGGCTTCCCTTCCGAACCGGGTCCCGTATCTCCGCAGCATATTTACCCCACGGCCTCCTTCTCACCCCCCTGTAATTCCTCCCCCCTCTTGCAACGGATACAGTATTAGGATCCGGCCCGAATGTAAACCCGTATTCTGGTTCGGGCTTCATGGGTTTTGCGGGAGTAAGACTGTCCTCCGTGGCAGAATCTTTACCACAGGTGATGATGCTGATCGTTTGGGGTTTCATTTCAACCTCGAAAAAATCGGGTTGGAAATCCGGGTCAACTGAAACTGCGGGTTGTAATAGTAAACCGGGTTGATTTGGGTCGGAATATGAGGATGAAGGGGAGCCGGTTTCACCTGCCGTACAAACGGGGTTGTCGGAAAACACATCTGAGAAACAAAGATTAAGGCTGTCTAAGAAAGATTCCGTTGAAGTGAATTCTTCGAGGAGGTGTTGCCGTATTAGCTCCAACGTTAGGCACTCACCAGGATTCGCCATCGTCACTACTCACAAATATATGTATGTATATGTGTATATATATGTAGAGAGAGAGAGAGAGAGAGAGAGAGAGAGAGAGAGAGAGAGAGAGAATATAGAAGAGATTGTTTCTTTAATATGGTTTAGTGAAGAAGAGAAAGTGTGGCTTCATATAAACATATATATATACACACACAGCAGTTTCATGCACAGTATACATCAGATATTATTTATTTATTATTTATTAATTAGTATTTGATGAGATATAATTAGTGGGGACATAATAAAAGTGTATGTCTTGTAGTTGTGGATATATATCATAATTGATCACAGATTCACAGGTTTTCAGTGTTTAAGGTATTTAATCTCATTTATGCTATGGCCAGTGGTAAATAAACTCACAACATATTCCACGTGTAAAATATAAACATAATTAATAAATTAGCTGTAACTACAATTAAGCTATTTATATGATTAGCTAATTTAATTTGGTATATTGGGTTCATGTGAGCCTATAATATTTTAGCCAAGGTACATAATCGTGAGTTCGAATTTACTCTATGACGTCAAATACATTTATGACGTCATTAATTAGTGGAGATATATGAGACAATTAAAAAATATATATTATTCTCTTTTATCAAGTGGGGAGGCATATGGGACCGGTGGCTTAGATTTTTATTTTTTATTATTCAAAAACAAAAAAAATTAAAAATGGATTTAGCCTCTCAGGTTCATCTACAGTAAAAAAGATTCTTTTTTTTTAATAGGCCCATGTTTTTAATAAGGGCGATCTAAAACGAGCAGACAATCAACATTTTATGTGTTTGTTCAATGTACACATTTCTGACATCTAGCTTTCTTACCGCTATTAATAAGATGTTTGGTTGATAAGATTTGTGTTTAATAAGTCTGTTGTTAATTAAATACTATTATTTCGTTTAATTAGTAGCACCTCTTCTCCTGCATTATTAATTAAAATTGAAAAAGGCAATTCTCATTTAATTCCAAATTTAACAATTAGTATAAAATTTAATTTAACGAATCAACATTTTACTGAGTAAATAATTAGTTAGTTAGTAATATAGGTAAACAAACGAGGACTGATCAATCTATTTATAAGTACTTTTTCTAAATAATTAGTTATTAAATCGCTCTTCTTGTTTTTGAAAATAATATTATAATTTGTCGGATTCGGACAAAGAAAAACAGTTTTATTACGTAACATACATGAATCGTAATGAACAGAATGGCTGCTGGCTGCTGTGTAAGCTAGTACAGAAAAACTCAAATAGTTTTGTAGATGAAACTTCTAGTAACTACATTGCCTCAATTAATTTTCACCAACTGCCATTGACTCGAATCCTATTTATACGAGAAGATCAGAGTACGTAATTAAAGATGGTTAAGACACATATAAACGACATCAATTCGATCTAAAACCCTAAATTCTTCTTCTGTGTGAGACTGTTTCATATATATTTCATGATATATTCGATCAAAAAACAAAAAAAAAAAAGTTAGTTTATTATGAAACTAATTAATTACTCCACTCTTTATCTTCAACTATAATTTTCTATCTAAAATGAAAAAGAAAAAAATATTTAGAAGCAAAGCTGTGGGTGACACGTGTACGAGGAGATACACGACAACGTTCACAGAAGATATACATGCATACATTATTAAATCTTTAATTTCAAACGACGTAACAAAAATAAATATTATTAAACAAAGCTGTTAAAATCAATATATCGGAACTCTAATGTCAAAACCATTTAAGACCGTCAAACCTCTTTTTCTTACTCCGTTACAAAAAAGTCAAAATTTCTTACTTAGCCGAAAAAAATAATTTTTCATAATTAATGCTGATTTCAGAGATTTACTGTAAAATCCAACAAAATTCAAATCAATTGAATAATATATAATTGGTTCAAGCTGAATTTGTTCTACAATATTACATTCTTTGTTCTAAAATATCTGTCATTTTCGAGTAATTTTTTTGTTCTATATTATTAGTGAAATTATAATTTTGTATTAATTACTTATTTTTCAATATTGTCAATGTTAACTCATATTTGCATTAATTAGTAGTAGATAATAATTTGGTCTAACAATAATATATTTTTCTAAAATCAGCAATATTGAGATTCTTAAGATTTGTGCTGACGAGTATATCTAATCACAGCTCGACAATTTTAATGCAGTATTTACCATTTGTTCCAAGCCATAGCAATTAATATATATAGTATCATATAATTCATCAAGTCACCAGAATGCAACTGATGCGAATTAATATATGATTTTAATTAATTTAAAATTCACCTGAATACCAAAAAATGGAGAAAAGAAAAAAATATATATATATTACTGAATATATGACCTTTCGAGGAACTAATAGTTTTGTCTTTAGTGGCTGCGGCTTTGGTTCAGCAATTAATAATCGAGCCCACTTCATTATTATTATTTATAAATTGATGGACCACGTACTTACTTCTAAGAGATATGAATTAAATTATTATTTAATTTGTTGCATAATTAATTAAACCCATCAAACCAGCTAAGCTTACAAGTACCTCGACCCACTGCTTTCATTTAATTTGGCCTATTTAGTTTTCTATCAATTTCTATATATAAATCCAGGGCATATTCCATATCTTGGCCACTCATTTAATAATTCGTATAATTATTTATTAATTTTATGATTAAACAAAAAAAAGTTCCTTATTATATATATATATATATATATATATATATATATATATATATATATATATATATATATATATATATATATATATATATATATATATATATATATATATTATATATACATACAATTAATATATACTCAGTATATAATTAATATATTGTATGAGTTGAGATCTAGAGAGGCGGCTATTGAAAAAAAATATA